CGAGAAAAGTCTGCATCGCCCTTCGTGCATCCTCTTCAGATTCATCATCGGTCTGCTCCGACACCGCTCCGGAGACGTCTGCTCGCCCGCGTCATTTCAAGCCGGCACCTGCGCGTCCTGCACGCCCATCGCCCGCCCGCCCCCGCCCCCCTGGGCACCGTGTCGCCTCTGGAGCCACCGCTGCCACCGCTGGCACCCTTCACCTTGGGGCTCCATAATCTCGGCGCGACGGGTCGTCTTTTCTCTGCGTCACCCGGCCCCAAAACTCTCTTCTCTTCCGGAGCCCGCCCCCCTCAACAAAACACACCACCTCCCGCTCCCCTCCCCCCTCCGATCTCTTCCTCCTTTTCTCTTCTGTCCATCCAACCTCATCTGTTGCACTCCTCCGGGACACCTTGCAACTCAGCCCGACACCGCCGTCATCCATCACGGTCGCTGTCGCTGTCGCTGTCCTCGTCGTCGCATCCAGCACAGTACACTCTCGCTGCCGCAAACACCGTCTGCTTTGACCGCGTCGCGCGCACAATCCCGCAACACCGACGCGACTCCGGACTCGTCATCCAACCCCAAGCTGTACCGTCCTGTCGCATACTACCTCTTGAATCTTTGCGACATTTGATCACCAGATCGACACATCGCCGCCTCTTTCCACAGCATCACTTCACCCACAATGTCGACAGGTGTTGTGCGGTCTACCGCCCTCAGAGCCGGCGGCGCCTGTGTGCGCTGCCGCAAGGGCAAGACCAAGTGCGTCTACGAGAATGGCCGCGCGCCATGCAAGAACTGCGCCAAGGGCATGCACGAATGCTATCTGCCCTCCGAGTCCATGGCCCATCACCACGGCCAGTCGCCTGCTCGCCATACTACTGCCCATCGCCCTGCCCGCGAGAGCCTGCCTGCCTCGGTCCCGGCCGGCGATGCGCGCGCCGCCAACCCGGCCTCCGCTGCCTCTAGGCATATCCAGCCGCCCGAGAAGTAAGTCGCACATTCTCCTCCTCATCGTCCTGCTCGCTATCAGCAGCTTCACCGTCTCCCTCTCTTTCCTCGTCCATCGTTGCCCCCGTCTACCCTCCCCTTCTTCCCCCCGAGACTCAGCTGCCGCGCCCCGTGTGCACCGGCGTTCTATTCTGGTCATCGGCTATGTCGCCGCCCATCACCGCCGACCAGGGAGGGAGCTCGGCCCCTTCTGCATGCGGCCTGGGCGCGGTGGCTTGTCCCCCATCTCATCACACGCATTTCACACACGCTTGTTCCCCCTTTCTGCCCGAGTCGGAGAATGAGTCTCTGGCTCTGCGCTGGGAAGACACCCCCGAGACCCCAAGATCGTCCTGCCTTGCCCTCGATCTCCCGAAGGCGGCCGTCATCTCCAACCGCCGGCGGCATCTTCCACCTCCGCTAGCGTCGCCGCGGAGCCGCTGTTTAGCTTTCTGCCCCCATCCCCTTGCCTCCACAGCCCTTTTTCGTGCGCCATCGCATCCTCATTTCCCGAGTCGTATCCCGATCCTCTCCACCCTGGCCTCTGATCCCCACACATCCGGGCCTCGTGCCGGCTTTTCCTCCCACTCTTTCTGCCTTTCCTCGGGACGCGTCTGCCCCGAGAAACAAATCAAGACAGGAATGCTGACATAACTCTGCAATCAGGCTCACTCCCGAGCTCATCCAGGAATGCGAGCGCGTCATTTCCAAGACCTACCCGGCTTGCGTCGCCTTCCACAAGCCTTCGTTCATCCAGCAACTCAAGAACGCTTCGCTCGACCCGGCCCTCATTTACGCGCTGTTGACCTGTGCTGCTCGGTACGTACTCCCACATGATGGGCTGTTTTGCAGCTGTTCCCGATCCTCATCTCCTCCCTGCCCTTGTGTGTTTCACCACCTCCCCCGCAATGTCCGAAATTTTGTGGGTGGCGCGGCCCTCCGGTCGGGTGTGTCGTGTCGGCTCGCTAAGCCCCAACTGTCCGGACTTGGCCCGAAGCGTCCTTCTGCACTCTTTTTAGACTTTCGGCCGACTCAGTGTCGTGCCGCTCAGTGGATTCAGCGGACTGGCCCCGCTAACTCGTTCGTCACAGGAGCTCCCCGAACTTGATTCGCCGCTATGGAGGTCAGTCCGGCGCAACCGGTGCCGCCGAGCACTTCGCCGCCAAGGCCATGGGTATCATCAACCAGAACTTGGACACCCCCAGCCTCGCGGAGATTCAGGCCATTTGCTTGATCATCATTCACGAATGGGGTTCCCGCAATGCTGTTCGTGCCTACATCTACCTCGGCCAAGCCAGCCGCATGGTCCAGATGTACCGCATCTTGCACAGTCACCATGCCGCTGTCAGTGAGGCCGACCGCTTCCTCCAGGAGGAGTCTTTCCGCCGTGTCCTCTGGCTGCTGTACATTCTCGACTGCCTGCTTACCAGCACGCCTGGCCGTCACCCGGCTCTGTCCACCAACGACACCAACGATGTCTCGCTGCCGTGCTCTGACATGAACTTCGCTTTCGGCAACGCCGTCTTTGTTCAGACCATCAACCTGACGGACCCGTCCCGCCTGCCTGCTGGCACCCGCGTCGACGACATTGGCGAGTTCGGCCAGATTGTCCTGGCTACCCGCATCTGGCGCGATGTCGTCCACATGCTCATGACTACCACCACTGAGACCTTTAACGATGGTGTTTGCACTGGTCTCATGAACGAGATTGAGCGTCTCAGAAACTCTCTGTCGATGCAGTACGTGGACAAGCCCGGCCAGATCAATCTTCATATCACGATGGGATCCGGCTTCACCTACGCCATGCTTCACTGCATGCTCCACTGCGCCTCGATTTTCATCAACCGCCGCCGCCTGCTGCAGTATGTTACAGCACCCGGTTTCAGTGTCGAGAGCTGGCGCCTGTCGCCGCAGTGCCACGAGATCATTGACAGGCTCTTTACTTCGTGCCACAGCACCATCGCCATGCTGACGGCGCTGGAGAATGGTTCCGATAAGGATGGCATCATCTGCTTCCCCATCTTCATGCTCTTCTCCTCCTTTACCGCCAGCGCCACCGTTGCGTACCTGTCCCTGAAGGGCCTCACACCGAATAACGCCGTGGAGACCGCTGGACACATTGTCCGCGACGGCCTTCACTTCATGCAAGACGGTGTCGACACCTGGCCCTTGATTAGCTCTTGGCTGAGGCACCTCGCCGTCATGCACCGTGTCCTGGGCAACGATGCCGGCTCCAGCAGCCCTGCGGCTCGCACCTCCGTTCCTCCTCCTGCCAACCCGCCTGTCGCCGACCAGGCGTCTGTCAAGGACGAGGCCGCCAGCAACGCCGACACCAACCCCGACGCTATGGACTACGACCAGGCCGTTCCCCAGCCCCAGCAGGCTCCTGTCAACAACGGCACTGCTCCCGTCAGCGAGAGCGGCCGCGACAGCGAGCCTCCCGCTCCTCAGCCCCGCCGCCCTGGTGTCGCTACTATCAACGGCGGCTCCGTCTCCGGAACGCCGGCTTCTGTCAGCCCCCCGCCCCAGCAGCCGGAGGTCAAGGCTTCACCCGAGGCCGTCCCGCAGCCTCCTGTTGGCAACGGCACTGCCCCCAGCGCCGAGCCTTCAGTTCCTGTGCCTCAGGATATGACCGCGAGCGAGCTCTGCTCCGCATTCGAGCGACAGCTGTTGGAGTTGGATGACCTTGCTGCCTTCATGGGCGGCGGTGTTTAAGTGGTGAATCTCTGAACTCATGGTGGGAACAAGTCTTTTCGAACAATCGGTGCAACTTTTCAAACATATTTCGGACCGGCAACTGTACAGTACGACTATACCCTGCGACTGAATTTTCGGCATGATTACGGTGCCGCGTCCATATTGGGACCATCTTGCTACGGCCTGGGACGGTACACGAATAGGAGGGCGTTGGCAAGAAGGGCCTCATCTCTCCCACTGAGCAGTTGATGAACGCGGCTCTGGTGTAGAGTAATTGAAGCTTGGCTCTGGCGTTGGAGGTCGGTCAACGGTCACGACTGACCAGCTCTACGGAGACGTTGACATTCGTTTTTGATGCAATGCGTGGTATATCCAAGGGGGGGTTTAGGCTGCTTGCCACATGGTGCCCATTCTACCAAATCAGGGCAGACGGCGTTAAGGAACATTGCTTGATAACTTTTAATCGTACAACCTTTGTGGCATATGCTGTCTCGTATGATGCTCTCTGCAACGTGATGCGAAAGATTGCTGAAGCCTGTATGCCTCGTCGTGAGAGTACTCCGACCACCTTGACAGGGCTCACCTGTGTATAATGTGAAGGAAGCATCTTCCTTTGCAGAGTAAATTCGACAACTGTTTCATTGTCATCCCTTCGTCCAACATTTCCAAATGAGGTGAATCGCAACAAAAGCATCGCCCTTTCAAGTGTGCCTGCCTGCGCCGGAGTTCGGGCTTCGGCAAAATCCTCTTTCCGGTCTGCATCCGTGCGCACCCCAAGCCCAACACCAGGCTACTGCAAAAAAAAGTTGGTCATCACTAATCCTGCCGGGCGGGGTTGGCCTCATTCACGCCCAAATCCGCCTGTCCACGCTACTTATGCGTCAACGTCCCTCGAGACCAAGCCCCCAACCCCGGCGGAGTTCGCGCGTTCCCTCTGCGTTCATTGTTCTGCTAATTCCTCACCTTGCTCGATTCCCACCATTCCCCTTTTCCCTCTCCTGCAGCAAGCGCTCTTCGAAGGTGGTTTGAACGGCATTTGTGGAACAACATCGACTCTGAAGCCCGGCTTTTGTGGTGACGCTGCGTTGGGGCGTATTGTATCATCAATCACCGGTCGAGAACGTCTGGTTAGGGGTAACACCTCCTGCGGCCACAAAGCTTGGCTGCGAGCGAGCGCGGGATCCAGGGTGCGTTTGGTCGACCGCAAACCCGCCGCCGGGGACATTTCGATTCCGCGAGGACCTGGGGGTGTAACGGCATTCCCGGCCCGCTCCCGAGGAACAGGGTAAAAAGAAAGAGACCACACTTACTTATCCCCCCAATCCCGGATGCCGACGGGGGATATTCACGGCGACGCCGGGCCCCATCCGGCCGGGGCCGCCGGGGGAGGCATCGCGGCGCCGTACGGCCGCGCGTGCACCAACTGCTCGCGCGCAAAGTGCAAATGCATCCTCCGCCCCGCGGGCGGCGCCTGCGAGAGGTGTCACCGGCTCAACAAGACGTGCCAGCCGAGCAACCCGCAGCGCAAGCGCAGCAAGAAGCAGCCCTCGAGCCGGACGGCGCAGCTCGAGGAGAAGCTGGATGGGCTCGTGACGCTGCTGCGGCAGTCTGGCGGGCGGCCGGAGCTCGTTGACATGGCTAACATCTCCGGCGTCGTCGGCGGCGGGCCCGCGGGGGTTGCTCCGTCGGCGTCGTCGAGTAGTCAGGACGAGGCGGATGGACGGTATACCGATCGTGGCAGCAGGGACGACGGAGGAGGCGGAGCTGGGGTTGCTGGGGCAGCAAGGGGCACCTCGTTGCCGACGCCGACGCAGACGGCGAGTCCCGAGGGCACGGGGTACGGCGACGGCGACGATTTCCTGCCCTCGCCGGACGAGGCGGAGGCGCTGTTCGAGTCGTTCCGGGGCCAGAATCTGCGGTACTTCCCGTTCTTGCACTTCCGGCCGACGATGACGGCGCGGGAGCTGCGGTCCGAGAAGCCGTTCCTGTGGATCTGCATCATGACTGTCGCGTCGCGGGTGGCGAGCCAGCAGCTTGCGCTGGGGACGCGGGTGAGGCAGATTGTGGGGCAGAAGCTGCTCGTTGAGAACGAGAGAGGTATTGACTACCTGCTTGGGTTGCTGGTTGTCTTGGGATGGTGAGTATCATCTCCGTCTTGGTGATTAACTGATGCTGATGTTACAACCAGGGCGAACCATCAGTTGGGCAACAAGCCGTTCATGTGCCTTTTCTGCCAGATTGCCATCGGCCTCGTCTTCGACCTGGGCCTGAACAAGGACCCCGTCGATGGGATGAACCCCTTCCTCTGCTGGAAGGCCGCGCAGGAAAGGGCCGACAGGGAGAAGAATGGGGCTACGGCCCCGGCCAGCCTGTTTCTCAAGAATCAGCAGCCTCGCACGATGGAGCAGCGGAGGGCTGTTCTCGCGTGCTACATGATCACATCCAAGTATGTATCTCTTGTAATTGTACGTCTGCTCATGATTTTGCTAACGTGGCACAGCGTCGCCAGCTTCCTTGGCAAGATGGACCCCCTGCGCTGGACGCCACACATGGACGAGTGCCTCCAAATCCTCGATAGCCATGTCACAGTCCCCTCTGACCAGGCCCTCGTCGCCCTCGTCAGGATGCAGCTGCTCAAGGAAGAAGCAGGCCGTCTATCGTGGCGGCCCGAGGTAACATACGACGCAACCGACGGCTCCCGCACACCGCCGTCAATGTACGTCAAACTCCTCCAAGGCCAACTGCAGAAGATTCTCCAAAACCTCCCCACCGAACTCCAGAGCTCAGGTTAGTATCCATCCCCCTTCTTCCTCGACCTCCTCTCCCCCTCCAAACTAACGCCAACCCAACAGACACGATCATCTCCCAGCTCCACTGCGCCGAGCTCTCCATCCAAGAAATCGCCCTCTCCTCCAAAACAAACGCCTGCGTCCCCGCCAACCTGCCCGACGTCGCCCGCCTCGACATCCTCTACGCCTGCCTGCACGCCGTCAAGGCCTGGTTCGAGCACTTCTTCACCCTCCCGCCCGCCGCCTACTACGCCATCCCCTTCACCTTCTTCGCGCAGCTCTCGCAGTGCGTCATCGCCCTCTACCGCCTCACCGTCCTCGAGGACCCCGTCTGGGACCGCACCAGCGTGCGCAACACCATCGACCTCATCGCCACCCTCGACGAGGTCGGCGACCGCTTCATGCGCGTGTGCAGCGAGGCCGGGCTGAATATCGACGTCGAGGAGGGCAACGCGTTTGCGAAAGCCGTCAAGACGATCCGCGGGCTGAGGGGGAACTGGGAGAGCACGTTGGGTCCGTTTGTGAACCCTGCGACGGCGGCGGCGGCGGCTGTGGGGCCGGTGCTTGGCGCGGGGGTGCCGCCGCCGGCTGGGGTCGGGGAGGTGGAGCTGGGGCAGTTTGGGCTGGATTTGATGGACAACCGGTGGTTTACGGACATTTTCACGCCGTTTGATTTCTAATCCGGGGAAATTGGCATTTTTGCATGGGTAACACTTTTGTATGAGTACACGCGGGACGCGGACTTGGGGGCGTTGGATTTGGGAAACGAGACGAACATGCATACGCCGCTCAACGGGCCGGCTTTGGGGGCGGCGGAGACATGGACATAAGCCCGGGATTGTGAAATGGGGGTATTCATGGGTTAGTAATTGGGAAATGCGATATTGTCCGGGACAAAAGTCCCCTTCTGCTCTCTCTTATTGGGTCTTATCAATCTTATCCCGCCGCACGTTGGCGGGTGTGAGACATTGGCTTGCTGACCCGACGGAGTTCACCCGAAAGCCGCATCTCAATCCCATACGCTGCGCCCGTCCATCTGTCAGTCATTCAGTTGCTCGATCCCCCACCAAAGAGTCATACCAAAAACGTGCAATTACTGCCAACAAAGACCGGAGCTAAGGTTGAAACCTGATGCCTAGCGGCTGTGTTGTTGCTGCACCGGTCGTAAATCTGGTGCCAAAAGATCTCGTAAGCTAGTAACGTTCCGTCGAACCAATAGCGTGCGTGACTCACCCACACCTTCCACACCAACATGGGCCGATGTTCAGATGGGTTGGGGTTCGTTCAGCGCTGCAGGGCTGGACTAAAGGCCGGGGTTAGGATGAACCCCGCAGGTGCATGCGGCACGGCACAGGGGGGTCAGGGGCCCTTATCCATGTGTTGTTGGGGCGGAAGAACGGCGTGTTGGTGTGGGTGTTGTTTGTCCGCTCCCATGTTAGCCTGTTCGAGAAGGATTGGATATTTGTCTGCATTTCGCGTGCGTACGGGTTTGGGGCGGAGTTGGGAGTTGAGGTGGAGGAGGACCTTGCAGTAGCCTCCAGGCAAGACAGCCTTATATTTTACGCATCGTGTCCGTGTTGGCTTGGCGATTCTTGTCCTCCGTCACTGGCGTTTGTCTTCTTTGCGGCATTGAGTTCTGTTTAGACGCGGGTTCTGAAGGTTTCGACATGGATCGACCCATTTCGCGCGGCTCCGTCAAGGAGCAACACTCGAGTGACGGCCCTCAACTCAATGGAGAGCATTCGACAAAGGTTTCACCGCATCGGTCGCATGAACAGGTCACAGAAATGAAGGATGACGGAGGGAGCACGACAGCCGATGAGGGGGTTATGGAAGGTGAAAAGGAGGCGACTACGAAAGCTGCCGATGGCAGTGACGAGGCGCCAAAGGACGAGGAGTACGTCACCGGCATCAAGCTGTTGCTTGTCCTTGCTGCGTTGACAGGGACTACCTTCTTGATCTTGCTGGATATGTCCATCGTCGTCACAGTGAGTGTCCTTTTTCTCACTGGCGAGGAGTTGGTTGCTGACCTGTTCAGGCTGTGCCGCAAATCACCACGACATTCAACTCCCTCGCCGATGTAGGCTGGTACGGCGCAGCATACAACCTGTGTAGGTGAGTAATCTGCACGATCCCTCTCACTCTCAAGCCTCAGCCTAACACGTCCAGCGCTGCGTTACAGCCCTTTGCAGGAAAGCTCTACACGCACCTCCGCTCAAAATGGATCTACCTTTCTTGCCTATTCCTCTTTGAACTCGGCTCCCTAATCTGCGGCGTCGCGAAATCTTCCAACATGCTCATCGTCGGACGTGCCGTCTCTGGCATGGGCTCTGCAGGCCTCTACAACGGCGCGTTGACCATCATCGGGAACTCGGTGCCCTTGGCAAAACGACCTATGATTATCGGAATCTTGATCGGACTCGCCAACATGGGACTCGTGATCGGGCCGCTTGTCGGGGGTGCCTTGACGGAGTACTCTACCTGGCGGTGGTGTAAGCCCCCCTTCCCCATATTTCACATATGAGTTGCTGACCATAAGCGCAGGTTTCTACCTCAACCTCCCCATCGGCGGCGTCGTCGCCGTTCTCCTCGCCCTCATCCACATTCCCGACAGAATCTCCGCTCCCCTTCCGCTACTCGAAGTCCCCCGTCACCTCGATCTGCCCGGCTGTGTTCTCTTCATCCCATCAGCACTCATGCTCCTCCTTGCGCTGCAGTTCGGTGGCAACGACTACGCGTGGAACTCCTCCGTCGTCATCGGCCTCTTCGTGGGCTCAGGTGTCATGGCCATCCTCTTCGTCCTCTGGGAGCATCACGTCGGCGACGAAAAGGCGATGATCCCGCTGGGGATGCTCAAGAAGCGCGTCGTCTGCACGAGCGCTTTAGTGGGAGGCATCAATATGAGTGTCACGCTGGTGGGGAGCTACTACCTTCCAATGTACTTCCAGAGTGTCAAGGGGGAGACTCCGTTTAAGGGTGGTGTGGATTACTTGCCTACGATTCTGGCGCAGCTGATTTCTGCTGTGACGTCTGGGGCTCTTGGTGGGTTCTTTTTGTCATCGAACTAGAATAGGAGGAACGCTGACTCGATGTGTAGTTGGACGGATGGGATATTACCTCCCGTGGGTCTTCATCGGCGCTGGCTTCTCTGCAGTTGGAAGCGGGCTTATCTCGACTTGGGTGCCTACTACAGCAACTGGCATTTGGATCGGGTATCAGATCATCCTTGGTATTGGCCGTGGCTCGAGCATGCAAATGGTGAATATTCTAATCGAGGTCCTAAGAAGGCCCCTAGCTAATGACAATCTCCAGCACATCATCGCAATCCAGGCCAACCTGCCTCCCTCCTTGCTGTCCGTCTCGATGGCGACGCTGGTCTTCGCGCAAACGCTCAGCGGCGCAGTCTTCCTCACTTTTGCCGAGCTCATCTTCACCGAAGGGCTGGGCAAGAACCTGGAAAAGTACGCGCCTTCAGTCGACGCCAAGACGATCCTGGCTGCCGGAGGCACTGGGTTCAGGGAAGTTGTTAGTGCTAGCGAGCTTCCTGGTGTGGTGATGGCGTATTCGAAAAGCATCAGCGAGGTGTTTTATTTGTGCGTTGCATTGTCAGGTTGTGTATTCATCCTGGGATGGGGCATGGGTTGGGTTGATATTCGGAAGAAGAAGGCGGAGAAGAAAGGGGACGTGTGAGAGTGATTGAACTGTTTGGCATCACGTTGTGTTTGTGTCGGAAAAAGATACCATGAGCTTTTGCATGGATGGGGTGGCAATGGGTTAGACTGGATCCATTAGACCAAGATGAAAGAGGCGTATGCCGCACCAAAGCATCTCCTATCTATTATTAATGTAATCATTACCACTCTAAAACCTTTGTCCCGAGTCACCCGAGCATGCGCAAGAAACTTTTGAGTATTCCGCCTGGTTCTCCCGATGATGCCACTGCTGGACTCAGAGCTTCTTCTTCTCCGCGCCACTCTTGATCGTCTTCAACGCCGCAAAGGCCCTCTTCACCTCGACTGAGCTCTTGACCAACAAAAACAACGGGATGACGATCCAGAAGGCGTTCATCAGGATGTAGTAGCAGTAAAAGTAGTAGTCCTCCGGGCGGCAGTACACGAGCTTCTCGACAACCTTGTCGAAGGTGCAGGTGGCATAGTAGAGCACATCGCCGTACAGCTGTCCTAGGCTGATGATCATCTGAAACGGGTGTCGGAGCGGGTGGTCGATGGCGATGAAGTAGGCGCAGGCGAAGGACATGGGGCCCCAGAAGAGTGCGGTGATGGACTCCATACAGACCACGAAGGAGTCCTGGGTCAGGTAGCGCGAGTCGGACTTGGAGTACTCTTTCCAGAGCTCGCCGAAGATGTCGGTCATGCGAGGCATGTGGGACTGGTTGTAAGCAAAGTAGCCTGGCGTTCATGTAAGTATTGCTCCATGATGTGATATCGGCAAGGTGGGCGAGGAACCTTCAAAGAAGAAGTGGATGAAGCCGCAGAGGACAAACCACAACGCCGTAGCAACTTCGCCATTGGAGAGACGCGGATTAGTCCGTCGGATGATGTTGTACGTCGGGGCGAGGATGGCGATCGTGCCGGCTGCAAAGGTGCTGCAGAGGGCCAGGGCACCGAGTTTGTTCTCGACGTAACCCTTGAGGGGGGCATCCAGGGGGAAATACGGATGCAGGGGCATCGTAGCGTTGATGATGGCTTCGGCGGCCATTTCGTGTCGTGTCGTTGTTGGTGTTCTGGCTTTTGTTACTCGTCACGATGATGCAGCTGAAGTGTGACCGGTGGGATAGACGATAGATGTTGTTGAGATGTCGTCGGTACAAATAGTGTTGAGAAAATGAAGGAACACCACGACTGACAACTGCATTTCGGAGCGCGGAAGGAGACCCACTTTGGCGCGTCCGGGAAGCTGCGTTCCCGGATCGGCCCATCAGCTCTGTCCCTCGGGCGGTTGCCAAGTGTTTGTTAAACGACCAATTTCATTGGTTCAGAAGACGTGGCTCAACAAGCGAAATTGCATCGCTCGTCGTATTCGTGTCAGAAAATGCCTTGACCAGCTGAATGACCAAAGATCTTTTGGCCCCGGGGTGCGGAATTTGTTCAATCGGGGGCCCGAAAGCCCGCAATCCAGGGCTCACTGCCGAAAGGCCGGATGCCGAATGACGCGCCCGACGCGGAGGATTCTCCGTGGGCTTCTTCATGACGGGCTGCTCCGAACAACGGGCCGGGCGAGCAGAGTAGCATTTGAGAACGGCCACACTTGCAGCAAGTATCTTTCTTGTTACACAGCCAGAGGAGTCGGTGGTGCCGATTTCGCGACAGATTGCTTATCGCCGATTTGTACGTCATGTTGTGGTTCCAAAAATTGCCTTTCTTGGTCGCTTAGCGAGGCGTCAACGGTCGCCGGTGTTCATAGGTCGCAGGTAAGATGCGCTTAAAAGGAGTCTGTGCATTTCCGAATTATGTACTTTTCCAGAGATCATCATACAACATTCGTCATCTAACAAACACACAAGATGCAAGCCGTGGAGGGGCTCGTTCCTTTCCATCACGAGTCATTTCCAAGTGACTTTTACTCTCAAACTCGGTATAAGATCATTGGTGACAGAAACAGCGATCATGCTCCTCTCATTGTGCTCCACCGAGGGCCTCGTTACACTCACCACTACCTGAAGCCTACCTTCGAACTGTTTGCTCGCCAGAGGTCGACGCCTGTCATCTTCTACGACCAAATTGGTATGGCAACAGTACTCATATTCGCGGCAGAAGACCAGATGGCGCTTTCTGGAATGTCGACCTGTTTGTTGCCGAACTACAAAATCCCAAATTGGGCCTTGATGGAGGCTTCTCGCTGTATGGTCATGGTCATAGTTGGGGAGCCATGCTAGCTTTGAAATACGTGGCCACGTGCCAGCCTCAAGGACTTCAAAAAAGTCGTCCTCGGAAGCGGTCCTGCAAGCATGGCCCAGTGGAAGAGTGCGGCCAGAGGTTGGATATCGGCTCTCCCTCCACGTCAAGCAGCGTTGCTCGAGGAGTACCGGATGGGAAGCATACAAGGCAGCACCGAAGCTGATCATGCTTTGGAGGAGCTGGATAAGCTCACGACTCTGATGAAAGAGCCTTTCCCTCGTGAGTTGCAAGTGAGCCTCGACTGGCTCAAAGAAGACGACACTGTTCTCCTCTCCACTGATGGGCCCAACGACTTGTGTGACGAGGGGAATATGAGGGGTTAGTCTCCAGTACCTTAGGTGTGGTACCCACCAGCTGATAACTTGTGACTATAGACCTCGACGTATCTGACGACTGTGTCTCAGTTCAAGGTCCGGACCTGATAATAAGCGGTGATCAAGATGGGGCTACGTCGGCAACGATCACACCTCTTTATGAGAAGCTGCCAACTGTCAAACGGGTAACCATTCCCGGAGGGTCACACATGGTTCACCTCGAACAGCCCGAAGGCTATCCTAGTGATATTCAGAGACATGTATGCCAAACAGTGTAGAGTAACTAATGAGACGGATGAACACCGGGTACTGATCACCTGCCTTACGGGAGCACATGACTGGAGTAAGCCGGAACCACTGTGAACTACTCCGTGTTACGCCCGTTGTAGTTGATCCATGTAGGCAAATTGCTTACTAAATACCGGTCAGAGACCGATAGCGCACAAGTAGAGTGATCGAAAGATGAAAAGCACTTTGAAAAGAGGGTTAAACAGCACGTGAAATTGTTAAAAGGGAAGCGCTTATGACCAGACTTACGTCCGGTGAATCACCCAGCTCTCGCGGCTGGGGCACTTCGCCGGCTCAGGCCAGCATCAGCTCGCTATCGGGGACAAAAGCTTCAGGAACGTAGCTCTCTTCGGGGAGTGTTATAGCCTGTTGCACAATACCCTTCGACAATTAAAGCCCTCAGAATGCAGTTTTGCAGTCTCTTGTTTCCTCTTTTGGGTGCACCACTTGTATCAGCCGGCCGGAAGACTTGTCTCGGCATCAGTGGCACTGTAGCGTGTGAGAACTGCAAGGACGACACATGTTTGGTGGGCAGAATAAGCAGCAGTATTCCTTTCGGTTGGAGGATTTGCTGTGACGATCCGACATACAGCATTGTTAGCTGCAACAAGTCATGTTAAGGTATGCGATACACAACTTTCAGCAATGCGCGAAAGACGGAGAAACTAACACGGGGGTACACTTAGCGCGGCGCACCACATGATGGTGATGGTTTGGTCGGCTATACGGGCCACGGCAGCAGAGTCTATTGACAGATGTTGAGAATTCGCGGTGTGAATCAGTTCTCGCACGTTTCTAAATGAGGTTTGGATATGGACACCAAAAGACCAGGTGCCAAGGGTTTTTGTTATCACTCATAGAATAGAAAGTTTAAACTCGGGATAGAGGGCAAATTGAGAGCATTCCAAACAGCAATCAGTTGATTTCTGAAGTTCCAGAGTTCTCATATTGAGTGAAGTTCAATACATGTCCTGAACAACCATTCCTATATATCTTCATTTCAATACCGTGCCTGAGATGGAAGTACACTAAGATTTCAGCCTCAAGTCATACCTTGCACAGGTTTATATGGCCGTCGTGATGCTCTCGTAATCTAGAAAGCGCAGTTTTGGATTGACTAAGACGAACTCGTCGCAAGTTCGCAAGCAACCCCTACCTCCACAATCCTCCCAACATGAGGAACGGGAGTGACTGTATCAAGCCAAGCTTGCATCGGCACCTCCAAGTTGGATCCAACACTCTATCAACACTCCATCAAAACTCCTGTGCCATAGCAAGGTCGACCGGTCGGACCTGTTATTTGTACTACAGTACCCTCATCTAAGCAGAAACTCCCAAACCAATTCTCGACCTAGAACATGGAGAGATCGTTACATACCCCATCTCGGCATTAGACTGGTACAAAACTCTCGTAGACGGCGAAAGAAACATGAAGGAGAAGCTTTAGGATGATTCCAGAGATCAAGATTCCAAGCTAGCGTACTGTTGAACCAGTGCATAATTGACAGCCTGCAGAACATAATTTACCGATGAGGTATTCCCGCTGAAATTTCTGGGAAAACATTCATGTTTGCTAGGGTCGCTGCGCACTTGAACACGTTATTGGATGCAAACTTGCAGGAAAAAGCTGATTCGGTAAGTCAGCCCCGAATCCTTCTTGATCAGCGTACATGTAGTGATCGATAGCGAATTACCCCTGCATGATGCGTTGCCTGATTTTGTGCTTCCCCACGATTTCCCTTTTCGGGCCACCAGATTGCAGGCAGCTGTAGAAAAAGCAATATTAATTCAGAATCCGGACTGTATCTACAAATCGCCATTGGTTGATTTCACCTCTCAGCGGGTCTGACAGCTCGCTAGTAGTCCGCAGATGCTATCATGTGACGGCTTTGTGGTGGCCTCCGCAAGGCCCCCGATAGAACATTGAGGGAAATTAGAAACAAAAAAACCGCAGTATCCGTAGCCAAACCAGCCGGCTCCGTCGTAAGCATCGTCTTCATCTCACGCCCACTCACTCATCTCCATCCCAAAAACTGAGCAATGACAGGAGGTTGTCTTGCAGAGTCGGACTTCATGGCATGACAAACCGAACGACTCGAAGGCAGGAGTACGTGCACGGAATCGAACTGTCTCACCATACTACTCCTACGCGATGATTCCCGACGGCTCTAGCTGCCCTGAGGACAGCAACTCGACCGACTGTCTCCTGCGGACTTTGCTCCAGTTTCTGAACGAGCAGCACCGGGAGGAACATGCCCAAACTAACTGGGATCCGATTACTTTCTGGTTCACAGTCCCCGTCGGTGTTCTTGCTACTGTATTCGCCGTTACCATGATTCTGCAAGCTGTTTTTGCGGCTGCGAAAGGACGGCGGAAGACCAATGAACGAGCTATTGGGAGGTGGTCTCGGAAGACCAAGAAGGGATGGAGTTGGTCGGAAATGGGGTTCGAAGTAACAGCACGGACTCCGATATTGCGAACAGGAACTCTGCTAGAGTACGTCATCGCCCGACAATCGATCTTTGAGGGCGTGGATCCTGACAGTAGGACGTTAGACGATAGCGTGGACACGATGACTAAAGGCGAAACAGCTGAGGCTGACGCCTATGCACAGGTAACATGGAGACGGAGAGGAATTATAAGACAAAAGAGCATTTTGAACTGACCTCATCTAGATGCACTGGTGGTAAAACATGCAAAGGATATGGAGCAATAGTCCTGTAACAACCTACCGGAAATCTTCATCTTCATCAACATTACAGACTCCACTAGGCTCAGGAAATCAACGATGGAGTTCCTATAGCGATCTGACTTATTCAAGTACACGAGCCAGGAGTTGGTTCCGTTCTGTCTCCGAAGACACCTCTGCGGCTGCTTGGATTGGCCTCTTCGCGGAAATTGGCCTGGACCGGGTAGAGCTGAACCTGGTTGACATGGGCAACGGCCTCCGTTCAGTCACGGCTGATTACCTCCCAGATGATATTGTGGCAGCGCCAGCGTACGCGGAGCTGGGAATCATTGTATCGCTCCTCGCGATCACAGGGGTCAGCTTTGGAGCCGTGGACGGAACTTCAAGATATCCCACCATTGTGGGCCGAGGATTTCAGTTCGACTTCCGTCAACACCCCATACTCGGCGTCGTTGGCGCCTATTCACGACACGAAAGGAAGGATAAGAGAACAGCGACTCCAGATCTCAAGGCTATTCGCATGGCATTGCTGAACGGAAACGGAATTATATACACAGCAGGCGGACTCCTGCTAGCTCGGGATGAGTCTGAGTATGGACCCATTTACACCACTGTCCATGGATCGCAAGTACGATATGGTCTAAACTTACTTCGACCATCGCGTTTCGAACGCAAGATCATTTCAACTCACATGCAAAAATTTTCGAATAGGCATTTCGACAAACTGGACTCCTTTCCACCAGGTCAAAATGTCATCCCAAGCGGCAAATTGCCAGTCGTCAGTCTCTTTCTAGCTGGCACACCGGACCACCCTCCGGCCATATTCCCCAACTCCACCCTGGGAAGGGACCATGATTTAACAGCTCTTGCACTCAATGGAAGTTACTGGCCAAAGGTACTACTGAGTGAGACGAAAGAATTGAAACTCTCACAGTGGCTCCTTTCCAGTGATCCCCCATCATGGAGCCACTTCGTTTGGTTCAATTTCAGCATTCCCGATAGAACAACTGCGGACAGCCCCGAGGAGCTCGCCAAAATTGCACGGGTAGTACAATGGGCTTTTGATGACAAGAAGCTACGTGTCAAAGAAGCAAGAAACCCCGAGTATCGCAAGGCCGAACAAATTACCAAGAACAAGCACAAAGCAGAGGAAGTGGCAAAAATGACAGCAAAATTGGCTCAAGGAAGAAATCAACGACAGGCTATGCTTAAGGCACAAAGAGCTGCCGAAGAAACAGCTTTGGCTGAGAAGATCAAAGCTGAAGCCTCCGCAGCACTACAAGCTGCTGACTTGGAGTCCAAAGAACCCATCAAAGGCTATCTTTTGGTTCTTCAATTACGTCTCAAGTTACTTCACAGCCCGCAAAAGCTTAGACAGTGGTTCTTTAAGTTCCCACTTGGATTACAGAAGGCTTTGCGATGGATAGTCCTTCAACAAATGAAGGACGTCGACAAATGGCTTCAAGACAGTGGAAGGGATGATGTCGAGTTCCGCGCTGTGGTAGTATGCAGCACGACATTGCTCTTACTGCGCGCCGAGGAGATGGCCAATAATGTCCAAGATTGTGGCCCTGGCACCAATTCCAGCTGGTGTCACTTTGATGGGCATGGCTCTGGCCAAGTCACGACGAACACTGCAGACCAGCCTCATTGCAGACATGACACGGCTCGTTGTAGGCATTCGAAGACCCTACAATCACTTACAAACCTAGTGAAGAGCTTCAACCTGGATGAGAACATCTATGAGGCTTTACACCCAAAATATGACAGGGAAGATAATCATGACGTAGTCAGTCCCGGTCCGGAGATTGCCAGCAGCAATGAGCAGCTTCTTCATCTACACCTGTTCGCTGATAAGGCAAGGCAACATGGACGCCACTTGAAACACCTCACAGGGTTTGATTCCGAAGAAGGCTCTGACGTTGCCGGGTTGTACCAACTGCTAGATAGACTGCGAGCGATTTTGGTCCAGAATTCTGCTTCAGAGAGCGATTGGTAGTCTTGGGACCGAGAACATGCCCATAGAGACCAGAACACAAGGGATGTCGACGATGTTATCATTTATCGATGTCTAATGGTAGCCTTTCTCTTTCAAACCGCCTCAGATAGTGCCAAGATACTCGAGTCGGGTCTTTGGGAACATGTTGTGCCTCTAATATAAAGGCAGCGAGGTGTAATTAAGCTATGTTGTTTTCATTCGTTGAAAGTTCAAGTTTTGTGGCCAGTTGTCCGTTGTGCAGGATAGCTCATGCAAAAGGCCAGTACGCCAACTCGAAGACGAATCCTGTTGTCATCTTCGCATGCTGGATTGCGTGATCAAAAGAAACATGCTCAATCGTGTCGTTGGGGGTATGAATGTATGGGTTGTGGTTTCCAAAAGGCGCCTCAAAGATGAACGATGACGGATATCCGTTGCGGTTGGCCGACGCATGATCAGAGCAAGCATATCCGCAGACAGTCTCTTCATACGGGATGTCGGTATACTGCATCTCATTAGTGCTTCGCCTCCACAAGTCTGAGTCGACAGACTTACCGCATCAATCACCCGCTTCATGAACGCGACCTGATCAAGATCAACCCAGTCCGTGACGACACCGAACCTCTCGACCCCATCTCGCCCAACGTATCCGACCATGTCCTGGTTGAGCATGGCGACAACCTGGCGGCGGCTTGCATTATATTGCGTAAAGATATCCTGGCTACCGAGTAGTCCGGCCTCCTCGGCGCCATACCAGTGGAACTCAACGGTGTTCAGCAACTCTCCCGCCGCGATCCTTGGATCCGTCAAGGCGACTCTCAGCACCTCGAGAATCATCACGCTGCCGGAACCGTTGTCATCGGCTCCGGGTGCACGTCCTGCACCTCTGTCCCCAGAGATCACGGAGTCCAGATGGGCGCCGACTACAACGGTGCGTTGGTTCTGGCCAGGGATCGTGACAATGATGCTGGGCTGCGACCAAGCAGTATGTCTCACGTAACGAACATTGGCGGTGGGATGTCCCGCGGCATCGACGATAGCGGAGATTTGGCCGAACAACCACTCGGCAGACTCAACACCTGTGCGAGAGAGGTAGTACCTGTTGTGGAAGGCCGAGAAACGCTCCAGATGGGCTTGCATTCGAGACTTGTCAAGCTTTGGGATGAGCGCATTGACGTGGCATGTCTGGTTCATTTCGGTCGGGAACGGGAGAGCCGCCGCCAATTTGAAATCTCCAGTTGATGCCGCAGGTGAGTCAGGCCATTCCGTGATGTCGAAGAAGTGGATGCGTTTCTGGAAGTGTCAACAAAAGCATTCTAGAGGAATATGCGGCTACCCACGTCCATCATTTCCCACTTCTCCTCCTCCGTGACCGTGACGGTTTCGCCGGGCGCGGTCTCCAATGTGAAGAGCTTGGAGGCATCGCGAGCAATGGACTCTGCCGCAGTAGAGGCAGCGAGACCCGCAAGAAAGGTTGTAACGCGCATTGTGACGGCCGCGTTGAGCGGAGAATGAGACTGGGAATCGACGACGTCGAGCGGCTGTTACTTCAGATGATGCCCTCGCACCTTTGGTCGATGATCTGGCCCAGGAAATGAAAGTGGGAGGGTGGAAGGTAGAAATATCCACTAAAGCCCAGCCTGAACCCTGATGAGCTCGCATCCGTATGATGCGGTGCTCAAAAGCCCTAAAACTCAATTCAATCTATCGATCGTCTGTAATGGACGTTCGCTTGGCGGCTGGGATATTCGTACTCTGAGCTGCATGTAAGGCTTGGTGTTTGCCCGAACCCCTCACCGTAACCATCTCCCCGCGCGATTTGGTCCTTGGCCAAAAGTCACCTTCCGAATACAGCCAGTCTTGGCACCTCAGCAAAAGTGCCCGACGTTAGTGAGCAACATGATGATGTTTGCTGAAGACATGAAGACATGCAAGTGTCTGTCCATAAGGAGAATCGTCCGTAGTTCCGAGTGACGAGGGTAGAGATTACTTATATTTCACAATAGCAAATCTTGTACAAAATCAATCGAACGTGTCGCGAAATTGAGACAGCGGGGAACCCAAGGTAGTTGGCAGATCATTCCCAGCGCTCGGAAGCCCGGGCCAAGAAACTCGCGCTCTTGGCTACACGGGACCACCTCATTGGGTACACAACATCCGTACCTGCAGATCTCCCAACCACAATGTCGAGCATCCTCTTCGTTCCGTTGATAACAGCTGACCATGGATGTCTCGGGAAGCTGCCGAGTATCACCTCCTCATCCAAGGCCTCGGCGCGCTTAGCGACGCATCAGAATTCCAACGTCCCAGTCTCCCTTACGAAAGGCATTCGCAATCTTTCTCACTGAGGATTCATCACCCGCACTTCACTTAAATTTATTGCCAACGGCAAGGCCCCGACTCCAAATCGACTACCACCTCTGAGACGTTCAATATCGAGTTTCCCGAAAGCTCGGGGCGTACTGAAGCTGAACGTACCAGATACTTAACTCCAAAGGTCCGTTCATGAGAGCTCCAACTTCATCAAATTCATTGAACAGTCAAATTGGAGTAGTCGATGTTTGGAAACCGTGTGCTGAAAATGATAGGCTTGTACATTTGTGTAGGACCTCCCCCCAAATTGAATCCTATCCAAAATCTTACTTTATTCCTTGCTCCGCCAGAATGTTCTTTACCTTATAGTCAATAAAGCTTGTCACCTTTCATTCACCTATACAGCTTGCCCATCCTATACAGCCTGCCAGGTGGTTTCTCCTGTTCTGATCAAGTCCAACAGCCGGTCAACATCTCCAAGGCTTTAATGAAAGCTTCTCCCATAACACAGTCTGACTGAGGTCGGTAAAGGTATCCTCGATAACTCGGATGGTGCGATTGACTATCTCATCAATATCGTTCTCAGTTACGATGTAGGGTGGACATATGAGGAAGTGGTCCCCGGCATAGCCGTCATATGTTCCACCGGCATGGAATAGGGAGATGTCGTATCCAGGCTGGAGACCTTTGGTGTGGAGTAGGTTGTTGACGGCCAGGGCGGCAGGGAATGGAGCTTTTGTAGTCTTTTCCGAAACGAATTCAACCGCCCAAAATAGCCCACGGCCACGAACATCTCCCACAAAAGGAAGATGAAGAACACGTTCTTTGAGCTGTTGTTCCAGATACTTCCCCATTTTTGCCACATTACTTATGAGGTTGTGCTCCCGGATAATCTGCTGCGTTTTCAGGGCCGCGGCTACGGCTAATGGATAGGCCATGTATGCTTGACCATGTGGAAAGGGCTTTCCAGCCTTCTTGAACGAGTTGACAAGGTCGGAGTTGACCAGAACAGCCGAGATCGCACCATATCCAGCACCCAGGCCTTTCCCCACAGCCTGGATGTCTGGAGCTACTCCTTCCTGCTCCCACGCATGTAGAGATCCGGTGCGCCCCATGCCGCACATGATCTCGTCGAGAATCAGAAGCGCACCGTACTTTTGGCAAACAGCCTTAACGGCTCTGAAGTAACCGGGCACTGGTGTTGCGCAGCCACTCGCCTAACGTCTCAGTCAGCTTTGTGGAGCAGAACAGGTCTTCAAAGTGACAGATACTCACACTTCCTCCAACTGTCTCAGCCACAAAGGCACAAACCTTTTCTGGCCCGACTCTTTGGAACTCATCGTCCAGCTCCTGGGCAAGTCTTGCGACATAAGCTTCTTCTTTCTCCCCATGCCGCAGCCCGCGATAGGTGCTGCAGGCTGAGACATGCGTCGTGGTGTGGGGAACTATAGAGTTGAAGGGATCCTTCCGAGGCTTCCAGTCTCCGAGTGCCAGCGTGCCCAGGGTCGCGCCATGGTAAGATCGCACCCTAGCAATGAATCTCGTACGTTCGGGCTCAGGGATGGCCAGGTGTGTGAAATGGGTCTTGGCTAGCTTCATCGTGACTTCCATTGCCTCAGATCCTAGAATGCAAGCTAGTCAAAGTCTGTCGAAGGGGTGATAAGGTAACGTTTAAGGCATTTAAAAATCCTTACCAGATCCGCAGAGAATTGCCTTGCCCATGTGCCCATGCGTCGATTGAACCAAAAGCGAGGCAAGGTCTTCGGCTACCTTGGTCTGGTAGAATCCAGGGTGGCAATAGGGAATATTCAACAGTTGTTCAATGACTGCTAGCTTCACTTCCTGATTGTCGAACCCAAGGCAGGAGACTGCAGCCCCAGAGGTGGCGTCGAGTATTTTGCGACCATCTTCGGTTTCGAGGTAAATGCCTTTTCCCGAAGTAATGACTAGACCGGGATTCTTTTCAAAGTGTTTGTATAAAAGGCTATGGTTGGGCTTTTGCCCGTTTATGTGGACTGGATTCTTCATGATACAGAGAGGTAAGAATTGTTGGCTGTGTCGATGATTCTGAGGAAGGTGAATGACTCTGCAGTAGTGACGAGGAAGAATTGATTGGGAAATTGAATCGGGACGATGGGAAGACCTTGGCAAAGTTATGAGACGTTTATTATAGCTGTTGATGCCCGGGGCCTGTGTTCAAGATCTTGCTTCCGATATTCTCACCTTTCCAATGTTAACACTAAGAATCATCAGTACTCTTTATGATACCCTTTGGAGGGGCCCATGCGACTGCAATTTATGATTCTTGTAGTACTCTACTAACGAATCTAATAATATAAAGGAAACACTTCCCAGTTTGCCAACACATTTGTTGCACCGACGATGGCTTGGACGAGGTATCTCGTACTCACCCCGAAGGTGCAAGGCGCACCTCGATTGGAAACAAAACATTGGTGTGGTGCCGATATCGTCCGATGTGAATGCTAGAGGACAAACCCCATGACAGGACTTTGTGCAACATCAAGTTCATTGCTTTAGTGAGGGATAGGGCATTCCACTTCCAATCGTAGACGATCACTGCATATACCTACTTTTCATCCTCATCGTAGTGTACGGACCGTGGTTCATACTCAATCACAAGCCTTTGCCGTCTTCAGCCTCTCGGTAGGTATCTGCACAAGAGTGGCTGTCGTCGCACTCTTGTTTCTCCTGACCAGCCTTGCAAGGTCTCTGTGGCCAGTGTTCTCTCACCCCACTCACGTCATGAATGTTCCATACGTTCAACACATCTTCAACGTTTCCGAAGTCATTGGTTCGGTACTCCGCCTCCGGGAATATTTCTTCCCCAACATCTCCCACAACACGGGAGATGTGGAGATAACTGCGCTGACCCAAGGAACAGCGAATGGCGTTAGCTACCAATGGTTTAACGAAACGTCGTCGTCAGACAGTCGCTCAAGCTCCAAAAGTTGTACATGGTAGCAGTCCGCCTGAGCAGTCCGGCTGCGATCCCCAGATCCGAGAGTTCGCTGGTGAAAATTTACGGCGATGGCACTGACATCATCATTGACTGACCGACAAAGTAGGACCACACGTTCTACCATATACTGATGTCGCACACTGACACTCCTGACCTGTCAACAAACAGGGGAGCTTAAGCTCCATGGCATTCTTTCTTATCACAGGCCTGCACCATCGCCTCTGGTGCGCATCCCGAACGACCATGCCTAATAATATCTGGACGGTAGTCTGCTCGATTGGCGACATAACAAAAGAGGCGGTTTGGCGCGCAGTGGCGAGGGAACCTGCGACGTGGCATGCGGTACTTTCTCGCTCATCTTCCGGTGAGGACGGAAACCGACCCAGCCCTTGGTCAACGGCTCGGAAGTGGTTGAATGCGTTACCCAAAACCACGAAATCCCACAACTATCTCATATGATCGATCCCTAAAACTCACACCACAAAACATGAAGAACCGATACACCCTGAAAAGGATCGGATGTTGCACCTAACGGAAGCTAAGCGGGGAGGAAACTGGTGGAACATTGGTCTAAACACGAATCATCAAAAACCTTTCGTCCGCGACAGATCCCGATCAGAAGATGGCATTCGTTGACGTCATGCCTCTCAAACTGCAAACACCACGTTACATGAGTTGCAGAATACGGACCCCCTTCAAGTTGCACTTCCATCAGGAGGAACCCAAAAGCGGCCTTTTTGAAGACCATCATTTCAGCGTCTCCAGAGTTTGCCAGGAGACACAATTTGTCGACGGAGGCGGCGGAAATATCAATAGCATCTTTGACAAAGCCTGAAGCCGTTGATCTTCATGCGTAAAAATAGACTCATAGCATACGGCGACACTGTCTTGGTTGTGGATTTGTATCTTGGCGCGCCTGAGTTTAGCAATGCCCTTGCAGGCTTTTTCATGACATTGTCAATTAGCTATCTTGTCATCAGCTTCTTGCGCTCCTTAGTTAGCGATACCGGCAAAGATGGCTTTTGGCAACGTTCGTCAAGGTTGTAGAAATGTGTGCGTACCTTTCCTAGGCAGTGTGAGAGGTCATGGTATGTCCGTGCAGACGGCCATCCATGATTTGGATTATAGAAATTTGCTGTAGAAATTTGCTCTTGCCAGGAAAAGCAAAAAATTGTCAACCTCTACTCTAAAAAAAAAGAATTCCCACCAAAGTCCCAAATTCTTTCCGCTTCAGAGACCATCGCCACAGCCATCAAAATGTGGGATTCGCTTCCCAACGAGTTGAAACTCCAGATTCTGGAATATCTCCTTGCCCAGAAACCCGACCGTCTGGCGCCATACACCACATTCTGTCGACCATGGCAACACCGCATCGAGCCCATCCTATTCGAGGAAGTCACGCTTTACGTGACAACCGCCAACATTTTGTCAGGCAAAACGACTCCATCAACACTCGCTGACATCATCCGCGGTCCAAGGACACAGGACCTCAAAAAGCTGAACATTGTCATAGACTTTGATCCCTCAAGTTTCGCCATCGTCACGGACGGCCCAAGGCGCCAAGGGCAACTCTGCGCTGCCTTTACGGATGTCATCGACGGCACGTTCGACGCGATGCGTGACTGGAAACGCGAGCAGGTATTTTTCGATCTTGAGATCCACGAGGAGCGATCGTGTGGTCATCATCTGATACACTACGGAAGCAAGCTCGCAGATCGGCAGGGGAAGACCATCGACTGCGTGCGGTCTATTCGGCACAAGGAATACAACGCCATTAGATGCCGTTGCTGCTCATTTAGAGGACTCCTATCGATGATTTGCTCGACAATGTCGAAAGAGTTGAGGGACATTGAGTTCGGATTCCAGCGGCGCGACATCAGTAACCTGTCGATCTTCGAGGAGGGATTTGATTTTGTCCCTTCGGGGCTGAAGTCGCTTACTGTGAGAAACTTGACCCCGAGCGGCTATGATCCATATGATCGAAGATACGGTTGGTTCTATCCGTGTTCTTCGTCAATTGTAAAAGTCAGTCGGAGCTTGGAGACACTCCAAATTTCTGATCCCGTTGAAAATATCTTGGGTGGCAGGTTTGGGGACATCCCTAACGCTCCTAATCTTCCATGGTGGCCGAACCTAAGGTCCCTCTCCGTAACATCAACGCGGCTGAGAGACTTTGCGTCCGACGCTCAAGCTGAACTGGATTATATGGCAGAGGTCGCCGAGAGAATGCCATAACTGCGACGGCTCGAACTTTGGTGCATCGGAACCAATCGCGCGCACCTGGACAACGCGGGCTGCCTCCTTTACACGGTGAAAGAAAACAGTGCTCATCTTTCGTGGCAGGCTTGCTGGAGATTCAGTTACCGATTACGCATATCTCCTTGGCGCAAGGTGGCTAGTTTTCATGGCAAGACGCTAAGCATCACAAATTCCGGGTTGGAATATTCTGATGGGAGCGATCTATCTCCTTACATAAAGTTGCTGGAATTCTTCGAAACGCGTCTGTATTATGGGAAAGAGGTTCATAAAGACGAGTATGAGACACTGATCGATACGAGACTAGACTAGCGAGGTGAGATATTGATATCAACAACGAATGATTGCAATATTCTGAAAGGCCACAAGCTGCTAGGTCGTTGATAGAAGCGTTCGATGCGTAGTCACCGGGAGCATAAGAGGAGAATTAAATATCATGAATTTAATAGCTATATACCGAGAGTTCGTCTCCATACGAGACTCGCATTTCTGCCATAGATGTTAGCGAGTTGTGTAAGAAAGGGCTTCACCCGAGCTGTGTGACTGAGCTATTAACAAGGCTGACAGGCCGGAGACGTTGTTTCAGGTGATAGCAGATGCACCATGGAGATCGGAGGATGAAAATGTGGTGGTCTTTCCTCTTCTTACAAGTCTAGGTAAGTAATGTGTCTGACGTTGATGTCGTAGCCCGTTAGGTCCACATCAGCGCAGAACCCTTTCGACCCGGAACTTTGCACACCATCAGGGTAAAAGCGAGAATCCGGAATTCCATGTGAATTCCATGTGAATTACAAAACTGAGTAAGGGGCGTTTATGGCCGAAGTCAACCTTGGGAACAGCGTCATTTCGGTGTCAGCTTTCGTCGCGACAACCTCATGTGAACTGCAACTTCCTCAACCCTCCTCACCTTTACGGCCTGCCCGCCCGGCACCGTACTTTCCACAGGCATGCAGGCATCTCGGTAAGGTACGCAGGTAGTTACCGGCCTTAAACGGCCGCACCTTTTGTCAATGGCAGGCACCAATCCCATTCGTAGTGTGGAGCGCTACGTCTGGTGCTTTCTGGAGCAGGTGCAGGTACATGCTCCTGCCTCTCGGACTAGATGCTCTTGCTTATCTAGAGGTGTCACCAGTCTGTTAGTCAAAGACGAGGAAGGCGAGAACAACAGCAGCAGGTGCGAACTGTGACGTTGACTGCCAGCCAGAAGGCCTTTAAATAGCCGTCCGCCCCGACACCCCACGCCATCTTTTGACCACTTCAACCAAACAACATCACATTCAAGTAGGCATCCATCCCGGCACTCCACACAATCTTTTGACAGCTCCCACCACACAACATCGTCTCAACGTCAACGAAAAATGAAGTTCCCTACTTTCATCGCCGCCACCATCCTCCTCGGCCTGGGCGCCAACGCGGCTGCCGTGCCCGGCACCGACGCAGCGATGGCAGCCGGCATTGGGGGAAACAAGCACTACGGCGTAAGTGATACTCTCAGCAGCCTCGACACACAGCCGGAGTGACCACTGACACCGACTGCTAGAAATGTCTCGCCGGCCCGAACCAGTGTGTACTCGCCCAGAAACACGGAGAGCAAAGAATCGACTGCAGGGGACAGGTATGTGGACCCTTGGAGCCCCTTCTTTGAGAGATTCCCTATTCTGACTTGCGATATCACTAGTGTACAAGAGATGGTGCGCGCTGCAGAGAGGCGCATATTCGTCACAAGGCGCATTGCTGGTGAGCCACCAGAATCTCCCATCAGACCTGGCTGGCCGTCTACATGGGGCGTTGGCAAAAATATTGGAATGCATGGAGAGGTTCGTGGGAAGGCACGACAACGTGGCGTCTTCCAAAAAAACCACTTCCGTATCGAACACAGGATGGAAGTGGATTGGCTGAACATGGGAAAGGTGCTTTGAGGCCGGTAGGAATGCTGAGTATCGATAAATGGTAGCTGAATAAAAACATAATACGTCCTACTCGAGTTCATGCCCAAGTGCTCTTTGCTGGCATCACGATTCTATCCTGACAGCAAAGGTTGCGTCTCCGCATCCCCGTGGTCTGGTGTTGATCTCCTTTGAGTGTTCCACAGAAGCATGCCCTGGACGATAGAAAACAGACCGTTGTTGACCACAGGCCACCCAACCAGACGATACCATCCATCATAGCAGGGCGAGTATGGAGGATATCTTACCCGGACCATCCACGAAATTGCCAATACCGCAAAGACAATGGTCTGCGTGGCGAAGCCTGGTACACTGATAGCCCCAGGGCTCGGCTGGCGCTGTATCTCTCGAGCTTGCGGGATGGCAGAAGCGAGGACTAGTATGCTCGACACAGGGAGCAAGATGAGGTAATGGCCCATGACGAAGAGATCGCGGCCCCAATTTCTCGGTTCGGAGCGCGAGTCCGGGAAGATGGCGTCGAAGATGGCCGGGACGAGGGAAATGAGGATGAAAACCACGTAGATGACGCCGACGCTGTACCGCGTGGCCTGACGGCTGGTGTTTGATGCCGAGTAATGAAGGCTTAGAAGCAGTCTGCCCACATGTTAGTTACCCGACGTCTCCAAGAAGCAAGGGATTCTTGGGGGTCTGCCTACAGAACAAGGGAGCACAGCCAGACAACGGCGAGCTGGACGAAGTTGAGCCAGTCGCCTGCAGTTGCGGGGTCGTTGACAAAGGTATCGCCCCGAAGTCTGCCCGTGTCGTTGACGTTAAGGAAGAAGCCGAGGGTCAGCTGCTCCGTGGCGCTGATGAGGTTGAACAGGACGTAGTACAACGAAAGACCGTCGCAGTGGCCTTGCTCGAGGATGCGGTGGTACTGGGGAAGGTACGACGCGATGGTTGCGATGCTCAAGGCTCTGGTGGAGGTCAGCATTCGTCCCGGGGGCAGAGTGGGAGGTCTCGATGTTGCGATGGTGATATGAGCTTTGGAAAAGGCGTGTGACTCACATTCTGGCCCAGTTGGGAAGAATATTCGGCACCATGGCTTCGCTGTTCTCGCGGTCGAGGGTCAAACAGCGGTTGCTTCGAGCCAGCAGGTCGGGCGATGCGGCCGACGGCGGTTGAATGGCACTAGCGGCGGTCGATGGCTTGTCCAACGAGCTTAGAATCGACAATCGCACGGCGAGAAATCGTAGCCTAGACGCAATAGAGAAATATAAATCCAAAGTTGGCTGCCTGTCGCGGGAGAAATTATTCTCGTGATGGTGGATGATCCTGTAGGATTCCTTCGTTCCGCCACGTGGGCCGGCGAATCAGAGCAACTCTGCCAAGAAGTCGGGGAATCGGTGATCGGTGGGTCGTTTGCCTCTCAAAAAGCTCGCATATCTCCAATGTGATCGGAACTCGTCAGGCACAAGGAAAAATCATTGCGAGTTTGATGGTGTTTATTTGAGAGAAGTAAGGCAGGCGTAAGGAGACCTTGGATGGTCGTGGTCGCGACTGCCCCGCTTCGGCTGAGCAGGGGAACAGGCTTTGAAGCGATCGCGGAAGAAAACACCAAGAAACACCATGACGAGTCAAGTCATTACGAAAGAAACTTCGCGTTGCATAAGCCGCACGCATTATCGGGCTACCTATTAAAGACTGCTGCATAATCTGCCCTATGACCACCTCGCGAAGCCACTGATACAATTAATCATCTCTGCAAGTCTGAATCTCTGCCCGTCCGTCTCGAAAACCTCAAAAGTCCTTGTCTCAAACCACTGATACCACTCCAGAAACCCGTAAAAGGAAGAACCAAGCGGGGACCCCATGCGAAAGAAAGAAAGAATCGAATCTCTCTAGGGGTAGATCTGCCAGGCGCCGTGGGCCTTGTTGCCGAACTGCTCCTCGAGGTCGCAGCCGATGTTGCCCCAGCCGCGCATGCGACCGTGGGTGTTGTCGAGGTGCTCGATGGCGCCCTCGAGCAGACGCTCAATGTCCATGTTGCCGATGACGCTGAAGTAGCGCGGGCCGTAGGCGAAGTGGCACGTCTGGTACTTGATGATCGGGGTCAGGTCGCCGACGCGCGCGGCGCGCACCTCGTCCGCGTTGAACATCCAGAACTTGCGGTGCTCGCGGATGTAGATCATGAGCGTCTTGCAGTCCTCGATGAGGGCCGAGTCCTTGTGCGCGCCGCCCATCCAGATAGTCTTGCCGTTGCAGCGCTTCGAGGGGCCGAGGGGCGTGATGACCTGCTCGGATTTGCCGCCAAGGGTCTCGACCTCGGACCGGACGTTGCCGTTGACCTGGAAAGTGGCGTTGTTGCCGTTCTTGTCAAGGACGGCGACGTCGACCCAGGCGACGTGGGCGGCATCGTCGGCAGGGGCCTTGGGCTCAGTGGCATTGGCCTCGACGAGCTTGATGTTGCTGTAGTCGGGGGTCTTGAAGGCCTCAGCATCAATGTCGCGGCGGTCGAGCTCGCCAGAAGGAAGGTTGGGGTTGCGCCAGAAGAGGCTGAACTCGCCGTTGTGGATGGGCCTGCTTCCGTCGAGAATGCACCAGACGCCCATCTTGCCGGTGACGCCGCCGTCATCGGTGTTGCACTCTTCCCAGCGGATGACATTGTCGACGAAGCGGAGCATGTCTCTGTTGGTGACGACGATGCCGGGCTTGGTGGTCTTGAACATGATGCCGCAGGTCCCGTGGGCAGCGAACTTGGCCCAGTACCCGACGTCACGGTCCTTAAACTTGACGCGGGCACTGTTGTTCTGGACGAACTTGGCGAGGAGCTCGCAATCGACCTTGCGAGGGATGTTGGACTCGCTCCAGGAGGATGTCAGCCAGGTGGGCTTGCAGTAGGGGCCCTCCATGTCGCCGCCGGTGGTGAGCAGGAAGCGCTTGGCGAGGGTGTTGTTGCTAGCCGTGACGTTGGCGAGGGCGCCTAGGTTGGTGTCGATGGGGATTCTGTCGTTCATGATGTAGGCGGACGTGTCCTTGGGGATCATGTCGGCCGTCTTGACGACGAGAGGGCCAAGGGCCTTGGCGTCGCGAATGTCGAGGGCGTTGTCGCCGGCCAGGGACTCGGTGGCGGCGCGCTCCTGGAGACGCCAGAACATAGGAGCCCAGCCAAGCTCGCCGTCGACAACGGCGCAGTCAGCTTCACTAGAGGCGGAGAGGCGGCCGTCGACAGTCCAGGCGCGGCGGTTGAGAGCGCTCTCGAGGAAGCGCGTGACATCGGCGTTGCTGAAGACGACATCGCGGTTGAAGGTCTGGCTGCGGAAGGCGCAGGTTCCGACCCAGAAGACCTCGGCCCAGCGGGCAAGATCGGCGTCGTGGTCCTCGAAGTAGACCAGGGCGTTGTGGGCCTTGACATAGTCGTGGAGGGCCTGGCAGTCGTCGCGACGAGGCATGCCGGCGCCGGCTCTCTTGGTGGCGCGGATGGTGCAAAGCTCGGCATGGCCCTTGGCGGGCTCGATCTTGATGTGCTTGGCGAGGGGGGAAGACGAGTTGCGCATGTCCTCGACCATGGCGAAGCCCTTGCCGATGTTGAGAATCACGTCAGAGCCATTGGAGGCTTTGAACGTGATCTCGCTGGCGGCGACGGGGGCCTGGTGGGAAGCACTGGCGACGTCGACGGGAATGACGACTGCACCGGCTTGAGCGGCCAGAGCCACGATGGGAGCGAGAGCTTTGCGCATCGCGAGATTGGGGAATGGCGATGCTTGGAGTGAATTGACTTGGAAAAAGCAACGAGAGGAGGAGATCCCGAAGGAGAAGAGACGCAAAGAGCGCGAATCGCAGCAAGGAGAGGCGGGATTGGGATGAAAATTTGCTTCCAAGGAGACGCGAGGTCCTGAGCTTGGTGTGGAAGAAAATTCAGAGTGGTGTGGGAGGAGGAGAAAATTTTGCTGTGCGGCCTTGGAAAAGGTGAAAGGTGAAGGTGAATCGAGGCGGGAGGGCTGAGGGAGGTGGTTTGAGGGACGCAGGGCGGCACACCACAACACAATATTCGCTTCTTTTTTGCCGTGAAAGAACGAGAAGGTCGCCAGGAAGCGTATGAAAACTTTTCCGAGAAAGCTCTGGAGGGAATTCGGGCAGATGAAGACTCGAGGGGCCAGGCTAAGCTATGATGTGATCGTTTTCAGGGGGCTGCCAAGAGCTGAGGCGAGGCAAGGTGAGAAGCAAGGCGAGATGCGTCAATGATAGGAAGCCACAGCTCGAAGAGATTTCCCTACTTCCTTCTAGATTCAGCTGGAGGTTTCACCTTGCGAAATGAAAACCCTGAATATTGAAAATCAATGTCGTGGGCGGGGGTGGTGGTGACGCGGGTCCTAGGGTTCATCCCATGCGGCTGGTGATAGTTGCATGCTGGTGCGGCTTAGTGGTGATGAGGTATAGGCCCGCTTGACCACTCAGCATACTGTCCATCACATGGCAGAAAGGTGCGTGCGTGCTACCCATGATCACTTGGGACTTACAGTAAGGGCGTGCACGTGATGAGCCAGGAAAATGATACTCATGTGCAAAGTACAAGCAGCTGTGTATGCATCCATGAATACCAGACCAAGTCACCCAGACTACGAATTGCATGACACAGAAAAGTGAAGTGCAACTGAGCAACTGAGTTGCCGTTCTGTGAAAGGAAAACCAATTTCAGACTTGCCCAAAGACCATGTTCATAAAATTGAACGAAGATAAAATGAACTCAGCTTCTTAGACTTTCACCGTCAACAAGAGTCTGACAAAGTCACGAGAAACAAAGATGTCAGTAAAAGGAACAGAATTGCAAGAGAAAGTGTTGAATAACTCCAAACTGTCCAGCTCAAACAAAGGACTGGTCTCTCAGTGACTACTTAATTGCAACGTTTCCCCCAGTTTGATATCCCCTGCAGAAAAGCCTACCATAAAGTGGTACAGGCCTTCCACGAAACTTTCGCCACGTACTTTCTGATCCCAGATCTTCAGATCATCTTTCGAAACAACCAATACCACGTCTTTACTACTGCCAGCTGCGACCTCCAACTTAGAAAAGGCCTTCAACAGCTTGGGCGGCTCCTTTGCCTCGTCAGGGTATCCAACAAACAGCTGCACAACCTCTTGTGCGTCCATGGCACCCTCATTGGTTAATGTTACGGCAGTGATGATCGCGCTCTCATTGCTCGAAATCTTGATACCGCTCAGGCTGAAGTTGGAGTACGTCAACCCGTGTCCAAACGGGAAAAGGGGCTCGACACCACTCTCGTCGTACGACTTGTAACCCACGTATAGCCCCTCAGCGTAAGGAACATCTATGGCAGTATCGATCTGGATGGTATCGTTCAGCCTGGCTGGAAATGTCATCGGGAGCTTTCCGCTGGGACTGATATCGCCGAAGAGGAGACGCTCCAGAGCCAGGCCGACTTGCTGACCGGGGTACCAGATATCCATCACCGCGTCCACATCCCCAATCCAAGGCATGAGAACAGCAGAGTTAGAATTCAAGACGACGACCGTCTTTTTCGACTTTCCAGCAAGCCGGCTGATGAGCGCGTCTTGGTCACCTGGAAGCGATAGGCCAAGCCCACTATCAGCGCCCTCGGATAACCGATCGGATGCAAAGACGATGCTGATATCGGCCCATTGAGCAAGTTCGTCGGCATCCGAGTCTCTTGTCTGGTTGCCAACGTCGACGCCAAGAGTGATTCCATATCCCCCAGTCGAGAGCGAGTAGCCCATGTCGTATCTCAACGTGAGCTTGACTTCGACTCCGGCCTTGAGATCCGCCGTGCCTTGAACGAAGTTGCCGAAATTGGCGTACGACATGTTCGCGACGAGGACTTCATCCAAGTAAAGAAGGGCAGTTCCCTGGCCGTACATGGAAAAGTGGTAGGTGCCGGTCGTGTTGGGCAGGAAGGTTCCTTCATAAATGGCGGAGAAAACGTCTGGATATGCCTGCCACAGCTGCGAGGGATAGCTAGCAATGGTAATGTTGGGGATGAACTCGTTCACACTGACGGGACCAGAAAAGTCGGTCGTCTTGTAGTACGTCGCGTTCACGCCGCCGTCCTTGAACATTGATGACGGGATGGTGGGGAACTGCCCCGTGCCGGGGTACGCTTCTGAGTACTTGACCGAGATATTTTCGGCACTCCCACGTCGAGAAAGCGCATCAAACGGTGCTTGTACGACCATGGTGGAATCAATGACAAAGCCTCCGTGGTTCTCAGAGACTTGATTCTCGGTCGTCGCACCGATGCCAAAGACCGCAATCTTGGTGTATTTCATAGGCGATAGGGGCAGTGTGCTGTCGTTGTTCTTAAGAAGCACTGCACCCTCTTCCACCATCTTCTGTGCAAGGTCCAGGTGCTCTTGTGTACGAACATGAGCTGTTGAATCGCCAGTGACGGGGTTGTCCACCTGTCCCAGCTTAAACATGTACCTCCACAGCCTCTTGACCATATCATCAAGGCGCTCTCTTGGAACAGAGCCATTGTTGACAGCTTGCACAAGCAGGTCTCCATAGTACGCAGGGAACCCATAGCTATCCGTCAAGTCCCCGCCAGGCATGGAAATGTCCAATCCAGCCATGACGGCAGGGACCGTACTCCTTGTCGAAAAATACCAGTCCGCAACCACGAAGCCTTCAAAGCCCCATTCCTGGCGCAGCGTGGTGTTGAGAAGCCAGTCATTCTCGCAGGTGAAGTCGCCGTTCAGTCGGTTGTACGAGCACATCACACAAGCAGCGTCCGCCTCTTGCACGCTCGCCTTGAAAGCAGGCAGATACAGCTCGTGCATGGTCCGCTCGTCGACGATCGCGTTCACCGTAACCCATTCAGGGCCCAGTCCGAAGCGGTTGGTGTCCTGATTGTACGCTGCAAAATGCTTCGGGCAGGCCAAGGCGCCCTGGCTCTGGATGCCCTGCGTCACCGCTACGGCCATGCGGGCAGTCAACCATGGGTCCTCGGAGAGGGTCTCGGCCGCGCGGGCCCATACCGGGGAGCGGAGGATGTTGATAGTCGGGGCGAGGACGATGTTGCGTCCTTTACCCATGTGCTCTTGTGCGAGCGCCTGGCCGTAGTCGTACTGCATGGAAGTGTTCCACGAGGATGCGGCCATGACGGGAGCCGGGAAGGCCGTGACGTTGTTCAGAGAGTTGCCGACTCCTGCTGGGCCGTCGCCCATGCAGATGTCGGGGATGCCGAGGGTCGAGTTGCCTTGAATGTGGCCGATGCAAGCGTTGACGCCAGTTCCATTATCGGTAAGCTTTGACTTGGTCAGTATCATTAGTAGAAAAAAGCGGATGAGGCAGGCTTACCTCTGTATCGCCTTGGACCATGGCATGCTTCTGAGTGTCATTGAGCTGCGCGATGAATGACTCAAGGCGCTCTTCGAATGGGAGTGTCTTGTCTAACCATGGCTGTACCGCCAGAGAGGTTGACGCCCATGAGGCGAACAATAAGGTTGACGAGGACCTCATGATGCCGTCTGTGAACCGTGCAGATGTTCGCAGAACGCCAGTAACTTGACAATCTGGGGGCGGACCATAAGTGGCTCCATGGACTCGAATTTCTACTCCTGCATGACATTCGGACTGCATATATGGTGCCCGCTATCGTTCATCTGTTGTTTAATTTGACCCTCTTTGACCTCGTGATCCTTCGGACCAGGGTTGATGGGCGGTGTGCGGGCTGGTCCCCGCGCCGGTCTTTCAACTGCAGCTCTCATAATCTTAGAAGACCGGCGATTGCAACCCTACCATTCGGCATCGCCATTGGCATATCGGACGTCAACTCCACTGATAGGCATGGAACATACGACTCCGGCTAAATGCGATTTGTAGTCCGCATCCCCGGGGAAAGGAGTTAATGTTTTGCTTGCATGGGAATCCTGGCTATCTCATGTCTTTTTTTCCAGTGCCACGGCCCCGGGAATATCATCTTCGAGATTGGGGCCATCAGACAGCCAAGTCCATAGCCAAAGATTGGATATGAGGTATCATCTAGTATCTCAGATACAGACAAAAGTAGAATGATATAGATTGGGCAATGCTGCCCAGGCTTGGGCCAGGTAGTCTAGCGATATTCTCCGCCGCAATCGCCCATGTCCTCAAACATCTCAATCCTCTTGCTTCTCTTCAAAATCTGCTCAATTGAGGCTCGATCCTCATCATCCAGAGACCAGCCGAGTGCAGCCGTATTTTCGTCCGCGTGCTCACTGATACCCATACGAGCACCCACAACGACGGCACCGACGTAGGGGAAGTCCAGGACCCAGCGAATCGCAACCGTAGAGAGACTGACGCCGTGCTTGGAGCTCACTGATTTCAACGTACGCAAAAGCTCTTGGAAGAGCTCCCATCCACCCCAGCTTTTGATCATGGCGTAGTACTTGCGTTGGCTTGGCGTGATCGTCTCGGCGTAAAGATCAGGTTCGTCTTTACCGAGCCACTTCTCGGCAAGGAAACCGCCACACTGTGATCGAATGATTAGGGCCTATTTGGTGAAACTGATGCAATCATCCCAGGAAGACTCACCAAAGTGCCGTACGTGAGAAGCTTTGCATTGTGCTTCTCACACACCTCGGCCATGCGCACGACTGGCCTGGAATCAATCAGAGAGAACTAAAGGCCTGTCAGCTCACTCGTCCGCATTTAGAGTCAAAGCTTCATTACCTGGACCTGATTTGAATGAATCTTGATGTCATGAGAAAGAATGTTTTCCATGTGGTGCGTGTCAAAGTTACAAAGACCCAAAGTACCAACTCGTGGATCTTCCGCCAAGAACCGTAATGCATCGATGTATTGAGGGTCCTCGTACTATGTTTTGGTTAGGCTATAGACTTCAAAAACATATTCATAACAACTCGAGACTCACAAATTGCCAGTGAAATTGCAGCAAGTCAATCTTGTCCGTCTGCAATCGCCTGCATCTCTCGGAGACGTTGGCCTGAACAGCCTCACGTGTGACGGTCATAGGATTGAATACGCAGTACTTGGTACCAGCGAACGTCGCTCCCTTGACAGGATACGAAGCGTTGAAACGTCCCTGGAAAACCTGTTAGCTAGGCTTCCGATTTTATCAGAAGGTCTCGAGGCAACTCACAAAGACGATCTCCGCATCGCCGTAGTGGTCAGCCATGTCAAAAGCAACCAATCCAGAGCTGACGTATTGGGAGAACTGGGCAATGATTTTCGAAGTTGGCGCTGAACCCCACGATGGACTCGACATTTGCCACAGGCCTGAGAAGATCCTGGGAAGTTTGCGCCCGTTCATCTCGAAGGTCTCCTTGGCTTCGGGAGGAGCGACCTGCAGGGTGTTGTTTGGCGTGTTAAGGTTATCAGAGGCCGGGATCGGGACTCCCAGGAGGATACAAGTGGCTGTCAATGCCCGTGTATAGGGATAATCAAGGCTTTTCTCGCCTGTTGTCGCCTTGCAGTCAAGAAGTGCTTGGTGCAGGCTGTTCAGGAGTTTCCGCTCATCGTCCAGAAGGCTGGAGCGCCCAGCTGAGAGAAGGATCTTCTCAATGGCAGTTATCAACTGCACGACATCTCCGTCGATGGATGCTAGAAAGTCTTCCGTGCTCGTCCCTTGGGTGAGGAGTAGGTTGACACCCTGCACAGTCAAGTTGCCCATGAGGGTGATGCTCTCATAACTGAGACCGCATCCCATCATGCACCGAATTGTCTTCTGCGTCGCTTTCAATGATGACATATCCAGACTTGTAGACTGAGCCTGGACTTTTGGCAGCGCCACGTCTTGGATGTAGCTCCTGGTCTCTGCTTCGAATGTGGACGTGATTTCTGGATGAGAAGCCAACAATGAGCGCATGATGACTCGCATTCCCTCAGGCGTCATATTCGTAATAATGCTGTCGGTCATCATGTTGACATGGGCCGTCTTGACCCTGCGGGCCCCTGAACCTGCTGCCATCTCGACGGTCGAAATTGGGAACAAATTGTCCAAAGAGGCAATGCGATAGTCGACGTAGTGCCCAGTGTCACGATACTGCCAAATGGCGTCGTACAAACACAATTTCGACTCAAAGGCAAGTGTTGTCGTCACAGCGCGGGAATAAGCCAATGTCGTTAAGGATTCCCGTCGCCGGCGTTCAAACCGGCCTGTGGAATGCCGGCGAGAGCTTGTTATCGGAGTTGGCAGGGAGCCAGTGGGAAGCGGGGAAGCGGAGGGGACGTTTTGGGAGTAGCGCCGATAAGTTATCATGAGACATGACCGCGGGGACCCTGTGCTGAAGAGCCGACGAGATACGGCGGGTGGGGTTTTCCGAAATTGGGCCGGGCTTCATCTGATCAATAAGACACCGACGGCGGCAACTATCGCCAGTCCGTTGACCGCACAGTTCAATCCAATCAATCGACGTTGCCCGGCCGGAAAGAGACAATGGAGGCCCTCAGTGAGGTCCCGCGGGGGCCAAAGTCCGTGTAAGCTTCATGGGCGTACGAGATGATGCGTCAATGCGCAAGTGCTGATGAGTTGATGGCCAATGCCAGTGTGAAGGCGTGCTTGCCGTGCAGAACTGTCAAGATGCGATGTGTTGTTGAGGAGAATGAGACAATATGCTCGCGTTGTTCGCGCAAGTCGCTTAATTGCGTTTTTCAGGATCATCGTCGGGGAAGGAAGCCTGGAACACGGTGCGTTGCGTCCTTCGAACAGTCACACCACACAAAATCATGTAGTTGACGCTCAATTTGGGGTTTCAGGATTGCGAAGAGACACAGCACCTCTTCGAGGCACCTCGCCAGCACCCCTCCACCTGAACAGACGAGTTCAACTGGACAACCGTATGATGACTCTGCTGCAGCGACGGCAGTTCAAAAAAGTCCCGACTGGGATAACGGCACGCTCCAACCAGCCGGATTATTCAAGAGTCAAACTACAAGAAAAGGATTTTGTCTGGGAAGCATCTTGAACGCGTCGGATATAACAATACCAGAGACTAGAGAAGAAGATCCGGCAATTCCTTCAGATGATCCTGTACAGCTTGGCTTGGTCAATCTGTCCATCGCTTCGTCCCTATTTGAGAAGTAGTGTCCCGTCCAGACCTGTGAAACCGCTCACTGACAATACACACAGTTTCATGGTCACTCTTAACCCTTATATCAGCCAGCTAGATCCGCACTTGCACAGTTTCAGTCGCGTGAGGAAGAGATCTGCCTTTCTCCTGACTGTCATACTTGCCGCAGCAGCCAAAGCTTTCAATCCTGCTCTCAATAAGAAGCTCAGGGATCATGCAGAGGATATGCTTGCCGACAGTTTTCGCAGAGGCTCGAAGTCGATTGAGGCGGCTCAAGCAATCATGATCATGACTTATTGGAAGGACCCCGAAGATACGCGTGCGTGGATGTACTTGGGATACATCATCAGAATGGGAATGGAGTTGGGTTGGCACCGGCTTGCCCCGTACAGCCCCAAGGCTCCCGATATTGGGACTGATCACGATATTCGGGAGGCAAGAAATATTGAGAGAACATGGCTTGTTCTGTTCGTGTATGACCGAAGGTGAGCGTGCTAGCCGGAGGGGGATAACGCGACAGCTGACTAGGTTCTACCAGCATGAGTCTACAAACTGGAAAGCCGTGGATGATTGAGAGGAGTGGGTTCATTGAGTCTGTGGAGGCGTGGTGCAAAGACCCTGCAGCTATCTCAAATGATCGTCTTCTCGGTGCTTTGGTTACCCTGCGACTTCTTAGTTCAGAAGTCTTTCGTCTACTGGGTTCGAGATCAAACAGGGCTCGTGCAGGCCAGCTCCATACGCTCGAATCCCTTCTCGCCATCATCAATGGGAGAATAGAAGAATGGGAGACAAGATGGCTAAAGTTGGCCGATCAAGGTAAGATGGGCCCCAATAACTCGATGGTTTGAGTGTCACTGACAATTCCACACAGACAGTTGCCATCCTTTCTTGATACAATTCTACGGAACCCATCTCCGGCTGCAGCTCTTCTCTTTACCCCTGCAAGAGACTCTAGGTCAGCCGGATGAAGGGTCCTCACACCGCATGGAAGCACTATGGGTTAGCTACTCGAGCGCTTTGGAGATGCTGCATCTCATATGCCGCCATTCATCTTGGCTGTATTTTGCCCAAGATTCAGTTCATGTGATGACAGCGTACAGCGCCGCTTTCTTGATTAAGGTAATCCACTCTCGTAGGTCATTCAATCAAGGACGAAACTGACACTAGAAACACAGCTTCTGATGTCTGCGCCAGAATCAGTAACTCGTCAAATCGAGCCTGCCATCAGGAGCGCCGTTTCTGGCGCAGCAGTGGTGTTCTCCCAACAGGCCGCTCCGCCAGGCTCGAGTTGTGCACTGCAAGCCAAGTTCCTCGACAACATCACCGCGAGGTTTTCAAAAGAAAGGCCGCACGTCCCAGGCAGGGGACAGCATCAGAGTATAGCAGTCGAAGCAGGCGAATGTTCCACGATATCAAGCGCTCAGCCAAATTGTGACGACTCGCGATGGGATTCTAGCGAGACAGCAAGTTTCATTGCACCGATAAGGGGCGCAGACATAGCTGGGACAGGACTGACCTTCGAGTCCGCAGAGGAAGCTACTTGGGCGAGTCTCATAGCAGAAGCTGGATTCAGTGCCCAAGATGGTGTTTTCTTTGGATGAAACTTTCCAATAGGCTCAATTGAAGTCTTGAAAATACCGTCGATTGGCTACTTGTCTATATCATTCGTTGTCCCCCCTACAGGCTGCAAACTCGAGACCTCCTTGAACTTCATGAATTGCCCGTCAAGGGTACAGCCGTTGTCTCGGAATGACGGAATGTTCGGATCCCCTCTCGGATAATCTTCAGTTGAGAGGGACAGCATGGATCAGGGCAGGCGATCAAGGCATCGCTGCTCATCCAGTCGTGCTTATGGGTGACTCTCTGCTTGGCTGCCAGAAGTGGTAGTACGGATGCTGCGACCATCGTTATTTACTGCTCTACGATTCATGATCGTGTGGCACCTAGACATACCTAAGCTGTATATGCTGATTCCTTGGTCCGGAGGCAAGTACAACATCTCGCCTTTCAGGGTGAAATGGTCGCCCTCCTTCGCCCCACACATGATTCGCTTGCCTGGCGGGCAAACAACTTCGACCCGAAGGTCAAAGAGTTGGAACTCGTCGGGCGCCGCTGATTCAGATGCCATTGCTTGATTTCTATGAGATTCAGCAATAGCTTGGCTAAGAAAGCATTCAGTTAGAACTATCAGCGCGTCGTCTTATCTTACGGGCGAATTTGCCGATGGCAAGTCCCTGCAACAAGAGCCCCGCGATATCGCCCGGCGTTCTAAATGACCAATCGAGCCCCGCACCGGCGTTCTAAAAGTCGGTAAACCCCCGACTATCTGGATAGGCCGTGGAGACTAGCAGATAAGTTCGTCCGGTGATCCCAAATGCAGCAGTCCCCTGGCCCGGTAGCAACGCCATGCCGGTTGCTTAACTCAGGGTTAAAGACACAACTGCGGATATAACATGGCTAACCACGCCTGACCCGCTGCCGGGTCGTACGGTTAACAGTGCATGCTGTGCATTCGAGCGAAACACAACTCAGCTCATAGTGAGCCCCAAAAATCATAGTCTGTGGCATTGGAATCACCTCGTATGCAATGGAGGGGAAAGAGAAGTACGATGCAGCGTCAGACTCGGCCCCGGTGCCAGACGTGGACGGTGGGCAGGACGTGTCTTTGTCAGACGCAGAGGGCGGGATCAAGCGCGACTTGAGTTCGCGGCATATCAACATGATTGCGATTGCAGGAATGATTGTGAGTTGTTGGTGTTCTCTCAAACTTCTGGCGATTTTCCTGACATTTAACGCAAGGGAACTGGTCTGTTCCTCAGCTCAGGCTCAGTGATCGCAACTGCAGGACCCGCAGGTGCGTTGCTCGCCTATATTGTGATGGGATTCGTTACGGCTGGCGTTTCCTACACCACGGGCGAGATCACGTCTTTCATGCCGGCGACTGGCGGTTTCATCAGACATGCGACGAAGTTTGTGGAGCCGGCTCTGGGCGCTGCGACCGGATGGAACTTTTGTGAGTTGTGGAGTTCTACAGATCTGAAAACAGTTGAACTGATGCTTGCTAGGGTACACCATGGCAATTTCGGTGCCAGCTGAGATCAGTGCGGCGGCAACTCTTGTTCAATTCTGGAACACCTCAGTAAACCCTGCTGTTTGGATTACTATCTTTCTCTTATTCATCATCGTTGTGAACTTTGCCGGGGTCAGGCTCTATGGCGAAACTGAAGTTGTGTTTGCTTCTCTCAAGATAATGACCATCATTGGCCTCATCATCGGCGGACTAGTGATCAACCTCGGCGGCGGGCCCAACCGTGAACGCCTTGGTTTCCGTTACTGGCAAGACCCCGGAGCTTTCAACAGCTACATTGTTCCTGGCTCAGCTGGAGGTTTCCTGGCTTTCTGGAAGGTGTTGCTCTCTGCTGCCTTCAGCTATGGAAACATCCAAGTCGTGGCCATTTCTGGCTCTGAGACTCGCCATCCGAGGAAGATTATTCCTGCAGCAACTAGGAAGACCTTCTTTCGAGTCTTTGTCTTCTATGTTCTGAGCATTCTTGTTGTTGGAATGATTGTGTAGGTTGCTTTGTTAGGCCTCGTTCGCAACTCTGAAGCTAACCGACTTGCAGTCCGTCCAACGACCCTGCTCTGAGTGTCTCAACTGGCACGGCTCAGCAATCCCCATTCGTCATCGCCTTCACTCGCTCTGGTGTGTCTGTCTTGCCATCGATCATCAACGCCGTTGTTTGCACGTCTGCAATTAGCAGCGGATCAGCCTGCGTCTTCATTGCCTCTCGGACGCTTTATGGTCTCAGCTGCGATGGCCATGCCCCCAGGATCCTCCAACGCTGCAACCGCTTTGGAACGCCCTATGTCGCTGTGGCTTTGACTTGCGTCTTATTTCCGCTTGTGTACCTGAACGTTGGAAACAACACGTCCGTGGTGTTTGGTTGGTTCGTGAACATCACAACAGTCGCTGGTCTTATTGGCTGGATTGTCATCGAGTTCACCTACCTCCGGTTCTATGCAGGGCTTAAGGCGCAAGGTTACTCTCGTAAAGGTAAGACCCTAGCACCGAATCAATTTCTGAGGACGTTTGCTGACGTTCCGATCATAGATCTTCCCTATCGAAGTCCTGGCCAGCCTTATGTGTCATGGATTACGCTAGTTGCTGTTGTTCTGGTTGTCTTCTTCTCCGGCTTTGACGTCTTCACCACCGGAAACTTCACGGCCTCCGGATTTTTGACCTGTTATCTGAACGTCTTCATCTTTGCTGGTAAAACCCTCATTGCCCACTGTTATTTGTCAGCGTGCTAATCAACATGCAGCGTTGTACGTGTTCTTCAAGTTTTACCTCAAGTCTCGGGTCATCTCACCTTCCCAAATGGATTTCGAGACGGAGTTTGCATCGATCCGACGAGAGAAAGCGGAGTCGGAAGTATTTGACACGAGGGAAACCGGACTTAGGTCGTCATTTGGCAAACTCATTCACTCCGTTTAGACATTCTTCAGCAGCTAGGAGTCAGCGGAATTAAGATAAGGTTTCATCAGTTGCCTTGCTTCATGTATGCCAAGTCTCCCTCTGCAACGTCTCGTGATAAGCCCATCCTTGCGTGATTGGAGGACTGTCGAGTTTCCTCCTTGGACAGCTCGATCGGCCAGAAAATAACCATTTTGAAGAATTGCGTACAACATCGGTAAAGGGCCAAGACTGATGAAACATGCGCCGTGAAATCTGGCAATGCACTCGCCAACTCGGCTTAATTGTCGCTTAAGCCGCTTGATCGCGAACCCGTATGGTCTGACGTTGATTCCATTGACGTGTCCGGACCCAAGGAATTGTCGCCGCACGTTCTCAGACATTGTCGTCTGAACCAGTCTCACTTCCACGAGGTGTTCGTCTCACTTACCGCGTGCGGGCCTTTGCAACGGGACCTTTCCTCCGATTATTGACCATCTCCATCTCATGTACGTAAGAGGATACTTTTCGCCCGGCGGGCTGGCCTCACCCGCGGACGCCGCCCACCTGCGTGTACCCCGCATCGCCAGAGCAACATGAAATGATGGCCAACCACTAGTGTCAGATCCTAGCCAGGGGTCCTTAGGCGGGTGCTCCCGGGTCGCCGCGTGGCGACAGCTCCGGAGGGCTGGCTGTCAGCATCGGGAGCTCTGCCTGTGCTTCCAGTCGGGGGGGCTGCAAGATTGACTTTGGTCCGTGACAATGTGGCTCGATCATGATGACTTCTATTTGCACTTCTCTATTCTGCTGTTTTCTTCAAGAGTGACCAATTGTCTTCCCCGGTTGCCAAGAAGATTCGAGAGCTCACTGAATTGAGACATCGTGCGTCCCTTGCCCATATCTGGTCCAATGAATAAGCAATTGTATCTCAAGATGGGCATCTGCCGGGCTTGGCGGTATTAGTGTCGGATAAAAGGCCGACAAAGTGGGATCGCATCTCGCGTCGCCTTCTACCATTCAAAGCACGTAAGTAATCTGCCGAGAGCGGGGTGTTGGACTTTGCCCAGGCCAACTGTCTGGGTACACGTATCTGGCTAAACTTGGATATTGCAATAGGGACGATAGTTTCTTCTTCGCTCTTTCTGGGGCTGGCTGAGACCACGATGCGGCTTTTTGTGGAAGTGATAAGAGCCAAGAAAAATGGTGCAATCCTACGCCCTGCATGCGACGGATCGTATCCGATTGAGTATAGTGAGACACCAAACGGAGCCAAAAGATGCGCGGTCGCGGCGCGAAGTTGCCATCGCCTACAGGGCAAGCTATTTGGTCGAGTTCCCACTTTTGATACGGAGTAGGCGCCGAAGGAGCTCTCTTCCTCTCTGGAAATGGCCAAGAGAGCTCCTCCAAGCTGCGAGGAAGCTGTCATGGCCTATTGTTTTCAGCGTTAGTCTGGCCGGCGCAGCCACACATGTGATATGGGGACAGGTGCCGATTGGACCGAGACCCCGCACGACTGCATGAAACTCTAGTGTAGGTCTCACTCTATGGAGACAGTGTTAATCTACAACAATGTGGAAGGAGGATAAGACATGATGAGATGTGGGCGGGTATGTTTACGCCGTGGCAGCGTTGGCTGATCGTGAGGGGCAAGTGCTGTGCCAGTAGCGCGCCTATGCAAGAGCTCTCGTATCCAGGGTCTCGTCCTCTTGGGTGAGAGCTTATAAAAAGGAGGGGTCGAGAGCTCTCAAAAGAGCTTGAGCGCGAACGAGCTTCTGTCCATCTTCAAAGCTGTTCTCACTGACTCCAGCGCTCCACGGAATATCCCCATCTTTCAACTCCATCTCCTCTTAAGGTTATCTGAACATACATCATGGGTGTCTCCACTGAAGTCCCGCAGACCGTCGAGTGGGCGGGGAAGCGCGTCCCCATCTACCCCATGGAGACGGTCGACTTCGGACGAGTCCTTTCCCAGGAGCCCGCTGAGCTCGAGAACCTGCTCCGATGCTGTCGCGAGTCCGGCTTCTTTTACCTGGACCTCGACAGCCTCGATGGCCAGAGATTCCTCGACGACCAGCATCAGACGCTGAAGATGATGCACCGCTACTTCGACCACCCCATCGAGGAGAAGAACGAGCTCGGCCTCGTCACCGCACACCTTGGGTAAGTAGCATATGCCTAATCCGCAAACGAAAGCAGTGGTCAGACTAACAAGCCAACTAGCTACGAGGGCGTCGGCTCCCGCACCGGCGGTCTTCCCAACACCAGAGACGGATATGAGATGTTCAAGGTGAGATCGGCATCATCCCCGCTCCGCCACTTACGCAAGTCACTTACACAACCCGAAGGTTTCCAGAGACGAGATCCAGCGCAAGGACCCCAAGTTCCCCGCCATCCTCAAGAACGACACCGACAAGCGCGTTCTCCGCAATGCCATCTCCGGCTCCAACATCGTCACCAAGGCGATCCTCTCCGGTCTCTCCTCCGCGATGGGCCTCACCGGCGCCTCACGCTACGAAAACGCCCACCGCAACGACCGCCCCTCCACCTCCACTCTGGCCATGATGCACTACGTCCCGGCCGACCCTCTCAAGGACAAGGAGATCGGCCACCAGAAGCACACCGATATCTCCTCCCTGACCCTCCTCTTCGCCGAGGAGTGGGGCCTGCAGATCCGCCCTCCCGGAACCAAGGAGTTCGGCTTCGTCGCGCCCAAGCCCGGCTGCGCCATCATCAACGTCGGCGACTCGCTGCGCTTTGCCAGTGGCCACACCTTCATGTCGTGCATTCACCGTGTTGTGCCCTTCCGCCCCGATGAGCACCGCTACTCTATCGCTTACTTCCTCCGTGCCGAGAACGACACCATGTTCAAGGACAGCGAGGGCCGCTACATCACTGCTGGCCAGTGGCACGACGAGAAGTTCTTCCTGTTCAAGGCCACTCCCGACATCCAGGCTCTTGCCCCGCCGTCTATGCTGTACGGCGGCATGTCTGCCGATGAGGAGTGGACCCCGTACTCCCAGCCTGAGCTGGCCAAGGCGAAGGTTGAGGACGTACAGAAGGAGCCCTTGGTTAAGGAGGCCCTCGTCGAGGCTCACTAAGCAAAGCGTTGATGAATGAGGGGAAACAAACTTGAAACTTGTCCCTTGATCAGCCGTAAACAATATAAATAGTCAAATGAATACATGCACATTGTTTGTGTAAAAGCACTATGTTCAATCATTGATGCACTGGAAATAAAGCTACCAGATGATGCGACCGTGACGCCAATGACCCACTCTCTTGGTTGATGTGCTCATGATTTGAACACGGCCGAGATGTACCGAAAGAAGAGAGAAATCGCTATTGAGGTTGATGTACAATTCACCAAAGTGAACTCATTGACCGCGACTGAGAACAACAGTCATTCAGTCCACACACGTTCGATACCCGATCACTGACGAAACGAGAATTTCTCGACCCCTCCTCCAACATGCCGAGCTCCGGTGAGCTGGCCTGGATTCTCTTAGCTCACTTAGTCTACCTAGGTAACTGTAGGCGAGCTCTTCCGTCACCAACATCCCTGTCTTCCAGGGGGCCCAGCCCCTCAAGGTGCTCGTATCGAACACCTCCCGCTGAAATAAACATGCCCATCCCTCGACTCTTCGTTGGCTCTGTCGTCCAAGCCAAATTGTCCTAGCAGACGACTCTGCCGTCGAATCAGCAGCTCATGTTCGCCGGAAAGAATGAGCTTCCTCCCTACAGCGCCATTGGCGAGAACCCCGCCGCCAGCTCTGTGAGGGGTTGGAACTCCCATCTCCAATTACCCCGCAGGTCGCGATTTCTGCGCGTGTTTGGGTTGGCCTGCCTCGCGTTCATCGTCTACGCGCAATGGCGGCAAATATCACCCATCGGAAGATCTTCGAACTCAGAATCCAACTTGCATGGCCTCTCAATCGCGCAACTAGAAGAGGATCTTGCAACATGCGCCAAACTGCATCACAACCCAGTGGATCCCGCCGGGTACGGGCGGGCAAGGAACTCCCGATATGTTGACGGCCACCGGCCCACCCTCATCAAAAACGCAACGGTCTGGACCGGAGAGCCGGTCAAGGGAACAGCGAACTTCAGCTGGATACAGGCAGATGTGTTTGTGGAGTTTGGTCTCATAAAAAACGTCGCCAAATCAATTGCGGTGAAAGAGTTGCCTGAGGATGTTTTGGTCTACGACGCGAAAGGTCGCCCACTCACTGCCGGTATCATCGACATGCACAGCCATGCTGCGGTACACTCTCTACCGACCATACACGGCAATGAGGATGTCAGCGAACTTTCAAAGGACATCACGCCCTATGTCAGGATAATTGACGGCATCCAGCCGACGGATAATCAGCTTCAGGTCATCAAGTCCGGGGGCGTGACGACGTCACTGATCCTCCCTGGCTCCAGCAACAACATCGGCGGAGAGGCCTTCCCGATCAAGCATGCCGTCGGACAACAGGATGGGCGAAATGAAACGAGTGTTATCGATATGCTGGCAGACCCGGATCGGACCTGGCGTTACATGAAGATGGCTTGCGGTGAAAACGCCAAGCAGATCCACGGCAAAGTTGGCGAGCGTGGGCCGTACAGTCGCCTAGGGGAGAGCTGGGAACTTCGCCAAGCTTTTGAGCAAGCTACGAAGTTGAAGCGGGAGCAAGATGATTGGTGCCGAAATGCTGCCCATGGGCTGGATAATGTCAAGACGTATCTCCCTTTCGAGCTGGAATGGGAGGGGCTGGTCGCTCTCTTGAGAGGTCAGGTCCACGTTCATACCCACTGTTACACCATCAACGACCTCGAAGCCTTTGTCGATCATACCAATGAGTTTAAGTTCCCAATCAGGGCTTTTCATCACGCTCACCAAACTCATCTTGTGCCTGATGTGAGTCCTCTTTTGCACTGGTAAGATGGACTATAACTGACTTGGCTTGGTCCTACAGATACTGAAGCGGGCTTGGGGTGATGATCCACCAGCATCAGCCCTCTTCGCCGATAATATGTGGTACAAGGCCGAGGCCGCCATAGGTTCCGAATATGCCGGCAAGCATCTCTATGATGCGGGTCTCGTTCCCATCTACGTCAGCGACAACCCGGTTCTCAACGCCCAGCATGTCGTCTTCGAAGCCGCTAAAGCCTACAAGTATGGGCTGCCATATCACGCAGCGCTTGCATCGGTAACAACGGCCCCGGCTGAGCGACTCGGTCTTGGTGAGCGCCTAGGCAAGATCAAGTCTGGGTATGACGCCGACATCGTGATCTGGGACAGCGATCCCTTGAGTGTTGGTGCGACCCCTGTCCAGGTCTGGATTGATGGCACGGCTCAGTATGAGAGTCCATTCGAACTGAAGAAGCCGTTCGAAGGGACGCTTGTACCGGATGAGGACCTCGGAAATATCGAGGACGAGTCAGCTGTGATCAACGGCGACGTGGTCTTCACTGGTATCTCAAAGGTTCTCATGTCTGTCAAAAAAGCAGGCGACTCCGCTGATGGAGAGATCTACAACGTGGCCGTCTCCAATGGCAAGATCACTTGTGTCGGAATCTGCGACCGTGAGCTCGAGACCGCGTCCAAGGTCAAAGGTGCCGTGATCCACATCAAGAACGGACATCTCTCCCCAGCTTTTACCGCCTTTGGCTCGACGCTAGGTCTGAACTACATTGAGACCGAGAGTGTCACGGACAACGGAGCAGACGGGGGTCGCTTCAGCCGCGGGGTCGATGGTCTCGCGCTCGATACAGAGAAACTCCGTGTTGCCCATCGATACGGTGTTACAAGGGCTATCTCGGCCCCGAAGTTCGCCGGCATCGCGACCCACCACGGCACCAGTGCGGGGTTCCTGACCGGAGCGGAGACGGTACTTGACTCTGGGGCCGTCTTTGCTCGAGATGCCGCGCTACACTACACGCTCGACCTCTCAGCTAAACGGGGGGTCGATGGAATCTCGTCTATGTCTGCAGCCGTCGGTGACCTGCGCAACAAACTCTTGAGAGCCGTGGCCTCACTGGCGTCTGAAAATCCCATCAACTTTGAAGAGAAGTACTCAGAGGCTTCATTCCTTCGTGAGGTGATACGAGGAAAGATGGCTCTCGCAATTACTGTTCATAGCGCCGATACCATCGCAGCCCTGTTGGATGTGAAGTCTTCAATCGAAGACACAATCAAAGAGGCCCATCTGGGCGGCAGCCGTTTAAGGCTTGTCGTTGTCGGCGGCGCGGAAGCGCATCTTGTTGCCGAACAGCTCGCATTAGCTGGCGTGGGTATCATCCTCGCTCCGTCGCAATCTTTTGCAGTTTCGTGGGATCAACGAAGGGCTCTTACAGGAGCTCCTCTGACCAACGGGACGGCGATCGACATTCTCGTCAACGCGGGGGTACTGACGGCCATCGGCCTTGAGGAAGATTGGCTCATTCGCGACTTGGGACTTCTAGCCGGGGTTGCATACGCCAATGGGGGACACAGGATAAGTGAGACGGCGGCACTTGATCTGGTCAGCCGCAATATCTATGACATGCTGGACTTAGCGTACGAGGAGCGAGATCATTTCGTAATATCATCGGGCCATCCACTTGAGATTGGTTCCAGGGTAAAAGCTGTTGGAAACGGGCAAAGGTGTTGGCGTGTATGAGTATGAAGGTCATCTATTCTGCTTTACGAACATTGTTCATTCACAAAAGCCTTGTACATTCCTGGATACGCGGTTGCTGCAGAACCGCAAATCATCCGTTTGCCTCTAGGACGAACTCGGGTTGCGGGCTTTGAGACGTGCCCCGACGTGGCCCGAAGGATGCAGAGTTCCCAGGCCAAAGGTTCTCAAGCTCATGCCCGTCTCCCCACGCACCGCCTTATCAGAAGTGATGCCACAATCGTACAAGGTAATGAAATGGGCAACACATCCTATGAGGATGCGCTTCGCAAGGAATCGCCCCGGGCACATGTGTGCTCCGCCTCCAAATGGCAGCCATGATCCCGACTTGCCGTTGATGCTGTAGACAAACTCTCCGCTGCTGGTCTTCTCAGGCAAGAGGAATCTCCCTGGCCAGAATTCCTCCGGCGGATGGGTTTTGGCAGCCCCAGTGCACCAAACAGCGGGATTCATGTGCTCAGTAGTCGAGTTGACGAAGAACAACCGATGCCCGGGAACGAGAGAGCCCCGCACGTTCACTCCATCGACAGGTGTTTTGCGAGGGATGATACCGTGGACTCTAAGGCGAAGTGTCTCGGCAAATATGGCTTGCAAGAAGGGCTTCTTCAAGAGTTTCTCCATGTCGAAACGAGGTCCTCCATCGGAATCTGCGATGCGACAGTCTGCCACTTCTTCCTTCACCACACGCATAAGCTCTGGGTCGCGGCATATCTCCAGAATGGCCCAGAAAGCGGCCGGTGAGGAGTTTGCTGTGCCTCTGCCACATAGTCAGTGTCACGAATTTGTATGAGATGGGACACGCGAGACTTGTACATACCCCCAGAGAAGCCCCAGGTTGTGAGCTGCGATAGAAGAGAAAGGAAATCGGTCGACATCGATGTACATAGCTGTACAATCGCGGAAGAACGCATGGCCCCAGTAAGGATCGAACCCGTCCTCCGAGATGGTGTCGGGGTGGAAGTTCGCAACTGCCCACTCGTTCCATTCTTGAACAGCACGGAGACACCTATCTCGAGCTTGGTATATGCGACTCATCAGGAAGTTAGGAAGGCGGAGAAAAAGAAGGGTAATGTTGTCATGGACGTATTGCCAGTCCTCCAGAAACATTGGGTTCTCTTTCAGCAGGTAAGGCCCACATAGAGTGTCGATAAAAGACCGCACGATCTCCATGTCCAACGACTCTTTCAGATCATGGAGCTCGTGCTCCGTATTGCCCCCGGCCAGGTTACGCATGTTCTTCGCCAACGCCTCATCGAACCGGTCATTGAAACCCTTCGTACCTGGGCCGGAGAGGAGGTTGCTGATGTGGTGATGACTGCGGGCTCCAAAGTCATTGCGGACCTCTTCTTCACCATGCTTGGATGGGCCATCTTCTTTTGCCTCTTCTTCTTCTGTCCAGAAAAGGCCGAGGTCTTTCTTAGGCAACAAAAAGACGCGATGGACGAAGATGCCCTGGAAGAAGAAGGTCGAGAGGGACTTGTTTTGGAAGGTGCTGCGAATGTTACTTGCGCCTTGAACGATGTAGCAGCTGAAGTTGAACCACTTGATTTGAAGTGGTGAAGCTCGATGAAATAGGTCGCTGAATGTCAGAAGGGTTAGTCTTGCCTACTATTGATCGGTCTCTACACAAGTGAAAGGCACATACGACACGGTAAGGAACTTGAGGACGTCGAAGACTCCCCTCAAGTGAGACCAAGTGAGAGGAATGAGACTTGATCCCTTCGCAGGCTTCTTGCCAGAACTGATGTGTGGTCGGAATGGGGTGTTCGGAAATGCATATGGCAGAAGGAGGAAGATGAACGAGATTGCAACTATAGTCAGAGCCTTATTTGACTCGACTGGGGGCAGAAACCCACCAAAGGTGGTCGAGTTCTGGACGATGATGGGCAGCCCGGTCCCTCCAGGCGCCACTGAAGCCATAACGAAAAGATGCAAGGCCTTTCAGGGGATTCTCGTGCACAGGACAAAGCGCACGTTTCCATGCCTTGCATCTAAATGTCAACCACTGCATTTTATATATACGCCATATGCCTTCGCCCACCCACGCAACTGTCGGAGCCCGATCCATCAATGAGTTCTGCGAGTTGCTGAATCCTGTACTAGTTCTGTAATGTTAACAAGGGTTCATAAATGAGGGGCACTGTATGCTGCCAAGGTGTTTCGACTGCCAAGATGCCTGCAAAAAATGCTTCGTCGGGAGTTAATAGGAAGAAGCCGGCGCGGGTTTCCCATCCCGCGCGGAAGATCGTGAAGACGGGCTGGACACAGAGCTCAATACGGTAAATTCCCCATCTTATCAATCAAATTTGATCTTATCAGATGGGGATCAATGTAACGATCCCCATCATTACTCGCAACTGCTCCACGGCAGAGTCTTTAGCGTTGCACGATGGTCTCCAGTGATAGCATCCGCGATAGCAAACCTACGTCAATGCATCTCAATTTGAGTCTGGCCCATGCCTCTTTATGTTGAAACCCATTTTATCCTCGAATAAGGTGGTATGAAGCCCACCTGGTCCGCATGGGAGCTGAAATACGCGAGCATTTGCCTTGTCGCTCATTGGTGGTTAATGGAAAATCTAGCCCTTGCCCCTGAACCATGCCCTGCTCTGGCATCGTGGGCCATGCAAGGTTGATGTGCCTAAGACTGTTGTCAAAACGATCATCCGTGAGATTTTCTTGATTCTGGAAGCTGCTTGTTAAAAGCAGAGTAGTTTGCGTCCCGGATGAAGGTGGAGGCCGCTCGCTTAGATGGCAATGAAGTCGGGAAATGTATCCCGACATCTGAACGGCGAGCTTTTGGCATCAGAATTTTTGTCTTCGCGCCCCGCGCATTCCGATGACCAGAAAGTCAGCGAAGTTGTATGTACCGTTGGAGGAGCTCGTTCTCACTCGCCTTCAACTTTACGCTACAAACTAGCTTATTTCATCCGACAATGATGGAAACGGTGACAGCAACGGCCTGGAATAGGCTCACGTTTGCTATCGGTGCCATCTCAGTCTTTGCTGTGATTGTGCGCTTCCTATATCGAGGATATCGACAACGAAGCTTCTATCGAGATTTGGTAAGTCAAGAGCGCCCGCTAGACTAATCATTGTCAAAAACTAAGATTGGTCACAGCCAGGCCCGCCTCACAGCTGGCTCCTCGGGCATCTCAAGGCAGTCGGCGATGTTGCCGGAATACTGCCTCCCAACTGTCATCCGCAAGCTTACTACACCGAGCTCGCACGGCGACACAATCTCGATGGCATCTTCTACCTTGATCTATGGCCAATTGGCCCTCCAAGCGTAATCTTGACGCGGCCTGAGTTGTGCGACCAACCTGCGATCATCAAATGTGCTGTTCGTCACCCTGTTGCGGACGACACACTCACGCCAGTGGTTGGGCATGGTGGCATCGCTAACTCGAATGGGCCTCTATGGAAGAAGTCGCACACCATATTGTTGCCGGCATTCTCTTGGGCGAACATCCGCTCCTTGTCGAGCTTGATGGCTGAGGAGTGCATGCCATTCAGAAGCCTGCTGGATAAGCTGTCTGAAACCGGTGAGGCGTTCTCTCTGGAGGATGTAGCAGCGAAGCTTGTCTTCGATATCATCTTTCGTATCATCTTCAACTTTCCTCTCAACGCTCAGACGGATGGAAGCCAGGATCTTGATCATCTGCGAGAGTTGATGGCGTTCGCGGAAAGCCAGAGCGACCCGGCTGTCATGCTCAACCCGTTCGCCCGTTTGAAGATCTGGTGGCGGAGGAAGAAGGTCTCCAAGCAGCTTGACATTTCAATGACCAAGAAAGTGCGAGAACGCTTTGTGGCATTGCGTCAAAACGAAATCATATCATCCCGAAGAAGTGCGCAGTCCATCTTGGACTTGATGCTGCGCGAGCACCTCCCGACTCCATCAGAAGCAAGCAAAGAACGACCAGATGCTCGGAATCTGTCAGAAGTTGATGAGGCTGTGATTCTATCCAAGTGAGTTAAAACCTGCTGTATCCATACAAGTACTGTCTAATCCATGGCCAGCATCAAGAATCTGCTCGTAGGGGGACATGGAACGACGACAGACACGATTTGTGTAAGCTTAACCAGATCCTCCAATTACTATGGACGTTCAACCTTCTCACAGCAGCTTCCCAGTTTTCCTTTATGCTTCTTTCTAAGGCACCGGCGGTGGTCGAAATCATGCTCCAGGAGCACAGAGATATTCTAGGGTCCGATTTTGACAGCATCGTGAGCTCTATTGCAAACAACCCAGAAAGGTTACAGACGCTGCCATACACCGAGGCTGTTATCAAAGAGATCCTGAGGCTATTTCCAATCGGATTCACGGTTAGACAGGCCGCCCCACAAGCAACGGTGAGCCATAATGGCGAGACATTCCCCATAGATAATGGCTTGATGGTTTGCATGAACGGCCATGATCTACACTACAATCCCGAATTCTTCCCAAATCCCACGGAGTTCTCACCTGAACGGTGGCTGGGTCCCAATGAGATTCCAAGATCCCAGTTCAGAACCTTTGGGAGGGGTTTGAGGTCATGTATGGGAGAAAACCTTGCCATGAATGAATTGAAGATCATCTTCTCGCTGATCTTGGTGGACTTTACTTTCAAGTGCTACGGGTTGGCGCCGAGTACGAAAACCACAACTTCGTATACGGATTTGGATCAAACGTACGGAGATATTATTTTTCAAGAGCTGGGACTAGAGGCAAAGCCTCGAGGTGGGATGATGATGACTGTTCAAAGACGACAATAGGACTAGGCTATCTGAAAAGCTGTGATTCAGAAAGTTGAACCCCCCGTTAAATGTATCCCGCGAATACGAGCTTCCATTCAGTCCCTGTACTTCAGATCGCCAACATTTCGACTGGAATTAGTGCGCCCCTGAGAACGTCTCCCTCTTTCAAAATTCGAGTTTAAAATGGACATACAGGGAACAGGGTCAAGGCTGCTGTATCAAGTGCCGTGTAAACGATGCTGGTCTCGCCAGGCTTCTGCCCGAGCTGATCTCCCAACTTATTATGTCACAAACAAGCTTCGTGGGAAACGCTTTCCGATCCTTGTCGTTGTCGTATCAGAGTTTGTGGGGTATTCGCTAACATTTCCGTCTGCCTGCCTGTGTAGACTCGAATCTGACAAGGCTTTGAATGATGGATGAGTAAACTGCCGACTACATCATTGTCAGTCATCTATCCACTGGCCTTTCAGCCTGTATAACCTTTCGAGACTACTAAAGGCCTCCATGCTTCAGCACGTAACTATTACGCAGTTTCGTTTGAGCCTCGGGGAACATCACTATGCGGAAAGTAAGTCTGTGAATTACGCACAGTTAGACTTCCTTGTGATGGTAGTGAGACAAATCGCTTTGATTTCTCGCTGCAGTCACAACGTCAAGTTGCTGGATGTGCATCCTACTTAAAGCCTCAGGTAGTTAGAATGAGCAATGGGATGTGTCGTGGCTGCACTGTAGATACTAGGTACCTGTCGTATGAGACTGTCCTAAATGCTACACATATTTTCAAGCCAAAGACGCCATGCGTGAGGACTTGCTTCCGTTTTCGTCAACGACTGCTTACTGGTGGCCAGAGTTCATACGAGTTCGAAAGTAGATCTCGAGCCTACAGTCTATACCCGTCAAGCATCATACCCTACGCATTGAAGATAGACCGTGCTATCGACGGTGATGATGTCTGATACAAGGCAGCCGATCCAGTCACTACCTCGACAAAATAGAGTTTCAATGGTCGAAAGCCTGAAATCGAGACGCCGGATCCCACTTGAGAGGTCATGTAAATCACCATACAGGGTTGTATCGATAACCTACGCAGCTATTTATTGGTCCTTTGACATGATCTCAATGTCCGCGCCTTGCTCTCCCACCGGCAAGGCGACCAGTTCCCTCTCCGACGCGTCTCCCATTGTGCCGCTCTCCCACCGGCCCGAAGATTTATAAGCAATTGCATGCATGACATTGAGAGTTCTTCATAGGCAATTTGGTAAACGAAAATCAAGTCACGAAGTGTGTGTTCAGCACATCAGAAATCAGACGTCTATCCCTTAGCAACCCAGGTCTTGGCGAGAGAGTGGCATTTATCGAGAAGCGGAAGAGAATACCCAAGGATCCATAGACGCCCTTACCTCAACGACGAGTAGCACAAAATGAGAGATCGCGCATTTACTGAATCACGCATGACTGAGGTCTAAGAAATAAGTCACCTCCCCGGAGCACCAAGCGTGCAATTCAACTTGAAGAGGAGGTGGTATTTTGACGTCAGCGGAAGGCGTTCTATCAGGCAGCCATTATCCCATCCCACTCGGCCTCCCACCCGATCCATTATTATGTTAGTCGACAATGGTTGCTAAGCATGGAAAGAATCGTTGAACGGCGAGGGGAAGACTGGGTATTTCCTATGATGTGGAATCGCCGATTCCAACATTTAAAAGGAGGAGGTCTGAATCGGGAGATCGGAAATGCTTCACAGATCACACTTTCAACACGAGAAGTACCACTGAGAATATCTGACCGAAGTCATCTGGTTTTATTACGATGGCCAATACACTCTTTCTAAGCTTGGCCGCCGCTATTGGACTTTTTGCAACGGCTTCATCTCTCTCTACGGAGACTGTTCCCCTCGTGGTCGAAAGAGCTCCTTCGAATGTTAGGCCATACGTACTTCGATACTCTACCGGAGATGCTTATCAAATTGGCGCCGACATATACAGGGTCCTGGTGACAGAGCAGTCTTCAGGTGGCGCTTTCACCTTGTTTACGGAAAGCGGAAGGGAGAATCTCCAGATAACCACGCACCGCCACCAACGCTACTACGAAACCTTCTTCGCAGTCCGCGGAGGCATGACGATGTGGATAAATGGAGAAACGCGCGCACTACAGGCGTCGGACTTCGCTACTGTCCCTCAGAACCAAAACCACTCATTCCAATTCACAGAGCCCGATACCTTGATGGCGAGCTTCATAGCACCAGGGGGTTTTGAAAAGTGGATTTACAACGTCTCGGAACCCTTTTCGAGCGAGTTCGATGCACCGTTCCCGCCGGATCGACCACTGCCTTATCCCGTGGGCAAGATCGTTGCTGCATCAGCTGACGGAAGCTTCGACATTACGATTGCCCCAGATGCGGCCTTGTCGCACAACGTGACAAACGGTACCTCAAACCCAGGGTTGCCCTGGCATAATGGAAATAACGATTTGCCGGGTAACCCAGATGAGCCGTACTTCGTCGCCAACAATCGGGGCCCAAAATTCCTTCATCGTTCCGAAGGACAGGTTGTCGCGCCTCTAGTGAGCAGGAATGAAACGTCCGGGAATGCTACTATCAGTATTGTCACAATCAGGAGCAGAGCGTTGGATAGCGAAGTGCCGCTGCGGAGGTCGAGCGGGTCACAGGTATTCCTGGTCCTAGACGGGCAGTTGATGATCTCTATGGCAGGGCAGAAGCAGAGTCTCCTTACGGGCGACGTAGCCTTTATCCCCGCTAATACTGAGTACAGCTACTGGAGTGACGTTGCCTTCACTAGACTATATGTTGGGGCGACATCTGGCGATGATGGTTTGACTGATCAGTTGATGAGAGATGCAGAATATTGGGACTTCGCGCTGTATCCTTCGAGCTAAATGGGGTCAAGTCTGAAATTTCATGCGAGAATTGTCGGACGGCATGAGAAAGACCCTAAGGCATATTGGCTCCTACGTGTTGGTCTGGGGTTATTATGGAAGGCGAATGTGAAATAAGTCGAGAGACAACCTGAACATAGCCAGCCATTATTCAAATCGATGGTTTGGAGTGACCTTAATGCCTGGGTCACACACACCCAACTTAAGTCACAATTGGCTACGAGTGGGAAAGCACATGAAGTTCCTAGAACCCCGGCCCGAGTATGTAGCGCTCCCTCCATTTTGCAATAATTCAGACACTACCCGAGAAAAATAATTGTTCAAACTGCCTGTGTTTGTGTAATGCAGAAATGTTGCGAATTCCAATTCTCTCACATGGAATGTTGCTTGCACTCTCACAGATGTAGGGTAATGTCGCATCGCCTCCGTTTGGGGGTGAGAAGGACAAAGTCGACAAGATCCATGCTGTCTTCAGGCATGTTACTGCTGAGCCTCGCCCCCCGACATTCCCGAAAAAAGATCGCCGCAGAAAGTCGAAGTTCCATCATGGCCAAGTGCTGGCCAATGCAGACCCTGGATCCCCCTCCGAGAGGTATCATGGCTTGCCTTTGTCGCAATGTTACCCGCGCCGAGTCGAGAAAACGATCGGCATTAAATCTGGATTCAGAATGGTTAACGCTAGGACACAGTCAGACGACAGGATAGTTGTACCGATGAGGCTCGTGAAATATCTCTGGGTCTCTATGAAGGGTGTAGGCAGGACTGTAAACCACTGTGCCTGCTGGGATGTAGTGAGCCGACAGAGTAGCACCTTCCTCTGGAACAGTCCGGGGTAGAGACGATGGAACCGCCGGGTATAATCGCAACGTCTCTTCTATAACAGCGTTGAGAAGAGGGCAGCTTTCCAGGATCTTGTCATCGAAGTCATCACCCAGCTGAGACACCTCATCCTCGAGTCGTCTTTGCAGTTCCTCCTGCTTCAATACTGACCAGATCAGATAGGTCAAAACTGCGGCAGTGGTGTCTGACCCAGCGACCATCATCCCTGCTGCCTCTATTCTCATAGTATCGTCATTGAGCCATTGCCGCCCCTCCCTCCCACAGTCAATGATCATTTCTTTGAACAGGCTTCTTGTCTTATCGTCTTGTTGAGAAAGTTTCTGAACACCATCCTTTCCCGCTGCATCACACTGGTCGAGGCAGCGAGAAAGTGTCTGGAGCGACGATCTGGGAATCAGTCGGAAGAGGAAGTGCAAAATTGGGAGCTCGCTTTTGAAAACTGCTCCAAGCAAAGCGGTCTCGATTGCCCGCATGTAAAGCGTGCTCTTGGTCTAGATCAGCGAAGGTCGAGTCCTGAAACGAAGTTTATCCTTGGCTTACCTTGCCCAAGCCCAGCATACCAAAGGACTGGCCAAAAGACAGAAGGCTGATGATGTCCGCAGCCATCAAAGTCCACCATTTGTGAGTATTAGCAGTTCCCCGCAACGCCTCATCCTTGATCTTCGACACCGCAAGTTCCACATTCTGACGGATCTCACTCTCCCAGTTTTGTCGTAGAGACGCAAGTGTAAAGGAGCGTTGAAGCAACTTTCGTCGCTCTTTCGCTTCCTGCTTGTTGGTGAGAAAGGAAAGAGAGAGCGCCGGGAGCCTTTCAGCAAAATCGCCAACCCACTGCGCTTTCTCGAAACCGCCACCGATCTTATACACCCGGATGACCGAATCAAGATCAACGCATGAGATCTCATTGGGGGCAACTCTAACCAGCTTGCCGTATTTTTGGTGAAGATTGTAGACATACGTCATTCGAGTTCCGGTTAGCCGACTTGCCTTCAGTCTCCATCGACAGAACCGAGTGTGCCATGGGCCTGGGACATGGCCCAGGGGCGATCGTAGACCCGCCAGAATAGTCTGTGATCTGTTAGCTGTGAAGCGTAATCGAAGAAACGACTTGAACCGACGTTGAGAAGCACGTAGACTGCAACTGCAACCAGGAAGAAGAAACTCCCACCGCTGATGGACAGGACGTCCTCAATCGTCAACCAATATCCCATTTCGGTAGGTTTTGTCGATGCTGGACATACAGAAGCAAAGTCTTGTTGCGCAATGAGCGGGCAACTGCGTTTTATCCCGCTCTGTCTGTGTGACTGTAACATTTGATGACATTGCGTGAGATTCTGTGCCTTTGAGGTGCATCTTGTTTGCCAGGAAGTTGTCAAATTGGACAGGGCTACCCCCACAAAATATTCAGCTGATGGAGGTCGTAAACCAACAGAATACTCCTTTTCGCAACTGTGCCTCAAACGAAGGCTTGGTAGAGCCGGTTACCCGAGCCTTGTGGTCTAGGCCTCCGGCTGAAAGAGCAAGCCCGCTGTGAGGTTGGTGTTGGAACCTACGAATTTCAGCTAGACAAATATGACAGTGAGAATGACACCCACTTACCAACAAATATATAGAATTTTCCGGGGCTTCTTTCAGCCCGACTGGAAAGCTGAAGAACCCAGAGCATGCCGCACAAACTGCTTGGCTTTACCTTCAGCGCAACCAACCAACAAACATGGTTTCGAAGGATCAGTATGTTTCAAGGCCTACTTACTAGTTGATGTGGTGGAAGAGCTGATGAATTTGATCGATCAAGTGACAAGATGAGCTGCTTACGGCTGAGGATGCTTGCCAACTCCTTGGAGCACTGCGTGCCCAAGCCTTCTACCACGTCACGATAGGCAAAACAGGACTGGGAGTCAGAGTTTTTGTGTGAGACAAGTCGCAATCATGGATGCGAGGAGAGTGAACAGCAAATTAAGCATTGCAGGCCTTTAAAAATACGTCCCGTGACGTTTTCAGACCTTTGGACATGGAACTCATGCCGCGTTGTATCCTTCACAACCAGATTCATTCTAGAAGTCTTGAGGCTGGATTTAATTCTTCAATCCTCGCTCGACTCGCTTGAGAAAGGCGACCAGTACAGTGATTGGGCATGGTGGGAATTGGCAACGATAAAGAGGCTCGCGTTCTGGTGCTCCCAGTCTGAAAGGTCTTGAGAGACGTTGGCGGCTTTGCGATTATACTTCATCGGCAAGTGCCGTACCGAAAGTGAAGGCTTGCCCGTCCGAGTTTGACTTGCGAGTTGCTGAAGTTTAAAGATTATTGAAATATGTATTATTCAGCAGCCTCATCCGGAGATTCGATGAACACTCGGCGCCGATTTAAGTTAAATGACAAACCGAATACAGCACGTCAACTTGCTCTTAGAGTTGGTGATGTCTGGATCAAACCGAACAACGGTTTCTTGTTTGTGGGGTACTGCAATTGCGAACTCAATGGGTACATGTGTTTCTTAGATCTCGGGCGAATCATGAGCTGCATGCTGCAAGGACGGTAAGAAGAAGAACTGTAAAATCTGGGGGACGAAACACCCTCAACACCAACCCCGAACCAGCTCGGAATCCGGTGGGATTCACATCGTGGGCAGCCCGGCCGGGATCAAAGCCGAGCGAGTGGTCCTTCACATGGCGGCAAAGGCGGCTGTGGGGCCGTGCTTGATCGGTGGGCGGGGAGAAGACACTCCGACGGATGGAGACCCGAAAAGCCCGAGACCCCGATGGTTGTGGACGAATGCGGTTTCACAGCTAAGATGAATGACGCACACGACGGAATGGCTGTAGCTCCCTTTTACGCGGATAAGCTGGGCAGCGCTGGCCAGAGCTCCGCGTAATAGCTCTCGCGAGCTCCCACACCGGAATCACCTCATCGTAATGCGATTGATGCGAAACATTTCTCTCCACGAAAGACCATCCCTTTTCATAGCCGGTGGAAACCTTGGCTATTTCTGGGTTGCATCAAGCATGTAGGGCTCCGCGCAGCCGTCTGGTGTTCCCTCCGGCTCGTTCGGGGCCAAAGGTCCCATTGGAGAACAATGGGCGGGGAGAGTTTCACGTCGCCTTCGCTGTCCGATCGCCTTGACGTCAGCTGACGACTAGACCTCTAGGTGTTGGCGTAGTCGATTCTTCTGCCTGCGGTGGTCTGGCGTGCTTTGGCGTCGTGTTTCTTTGATGTCGGCAAACAATCTGCTCCCTTATCTACCTTCCTGCTACCACCCATCCATTCCCTTGATTGACATCCTGCATACCCTCTTATCAACCTTTTTCATCAAAATCAAGATAGTATTGTTATCAGGGAATTGACAAAAATAATTCAATATGAAGGCTATCGCTGCCCTGTCCTGCGTGGCCGTTGCCAACGCATTTATCCTTCCCGACCCTCAGATTTTCGAGCAAGCGTCGATCCAGAATGACGAGCGCCCCTCTTGGTGGGACCGCATCCCGTCCAAGGATTCCATCGTGAACACTGTCGAAGAGGGCTTCGACTCTTTGTCCTCCCAGATTGAGGGTGCCCTGCATACTCTCGAGGACACTGTCGAGAACAAGTTTGAGCACATTTTCGAGGAAGAAATCTTCAATGATGAGGGTGACACTTCCGACAAGTCCATCTTTGATCTCGTTGCCGGCAGCAAGTACACCACCACTCTCGCTAAGCTCGTTAGCGACTACGACGACATCGTCGAGGTGTTGAAGAGCACCAAGGCCAACCACACCGTATTCGCACCGACCGATCGGGCTTTTGCGAAGCTTCCCAAGGGCTTGAAGCTTAGCAAGGAGGCCATCAAGTCCATTCTGCTGTACCATGTCGGTGTTGGCGTGTACGACGCGAAGAGGGTCTTGCGCACCCACACGCTCCCCACCCTGCTGAACGAACCCTGGCTCGGTGACAAGCCTCAGCGTCTTCGCACCAGCGTTGGTCTCGGCGGTGTTCGCGTCAACTTCTACAGCAAGGTTGTTGCAGTCAACATTGTAAGTACCCACAACCTCAATTGCCAACTGCGATTTCACGTGCTAATTGGATTTGCTTCACAGCGTGCCAACAACGGAATCATCCACGGCATCGACAGCGTCCTCCTTCCTCCTCCTCTGGTCGGCCGGGAGCTCACCCTCCTGCCCAGCCAGTTCTCGACCCTCCTCCTGGCCTACGAGAAGACCGACTTCGTCAAATACATCCATGGTGTCAAATCCACTGGCACCACCGTCTTCGCCCCCTCCAACAATGCCTTCGCTCGTCTGGGACCTAAGGCCAACGCCTTCCTGTTCAACAGCCCGACCGGTCTGAAGTTCCTGAAGGCTCTACTGAAGTACCAGATTGTCGCCAACACCACCCTGTACAGCGACGCCCTTTATCGCCCTGGAGACAAGGAAGCCAATGTCATGGAGCACTACCACGTGGACCTCCCGACTCTGCTGGGCGGCAAGAACATTGCCGTTGACGTCGCCGTGTGGCGCGGCTTCAGACGTGTCAAGCTCAATGGCTACATCCCCATTGTTGTTGCTGACGGCATTGCCAAGAACGGTGTCATCCACGTCCCTGCTCGCGTTCCCCTTCCCCCTCACAAGCACAAGAAGGATAGCGAGAACGGCGAGATTAGCGTCCAGGACTTGAAGGAGAGATTGGCGGAGTATGTTGACGAGGACGATAATCAAGACGACTTCGGATGGTCCGCTGAGCTCTAAGTGAAGCACATTAAAAACGGGAATGATGCAGCTCTGTCCATTGCAAAGCATCAAGGAAATGGACAGCAGCGCACGGGAAGCGCTGCGAAAATGGATCACATCCCACATAGCAAGAACGGCAAAAGTCTAACATGAACGCCAATACAAAAGCATTCTGACTCGAAATTCTCATCTTGAACTCAACAACGATGGCGTAGACTATTGTGTGCATGCTGCGGTTTGTAATTTAGTCGGAGGCCTGTAGCTAGTGAAGCAACTCACGCCCGAAGCAGGTTCTCGCATCAACCAGTGAACAGGGCTCGGGTACACCAACCTGTTTGCCAATGCTTCTACTCTGCACAGCCTTCAACAGTCCAAAGCAAGATAATGCGCTACGTTGTATTGATACATGAAGAGCAACCCGTCTACTGGGCTGTGAGTACCGATTAGAAACACAACCAGAGACGCCTAGTACTGTCTTCCAAGCTGCTGGAGCTGCTGCATCCGCCACGTGAAACACAAGGGCCCCCGAGCTCGTGGTAGCGCTGCTTTCAACTCATCTCGCTAACCGTCCAGAGCAATCCCCGACTTCAGCCCTACCTCCCCGACAACACAGAGCATTCCAGCTACTTCATTGGATCCTCGGGTACGCTTACAGCGGTTAGGCTTGTAAGGCCAGGGAAGCTTGCGTCGCAGAGAGCTTTGCCAATACAGGCTGCATCTCCAACACGCCATTCATAGGTCTCACGAACGAACAAGATGCCACTTTGGGAATCCTTCTCACTTGCATCGGCCAACGGTTATCGGCACTCTTCTGTCACAATGCACCATCACTGCCCATCCAACCATTTACGCCTCAAAGCGGTGCCAGCCCCTTGGACCCGCATCAACCTAGTTCAGAGCCGGCTACTGTAGCCTTTTGCGCCAAAATCCAGCTCTGCCGTCCCGGAATCCGCATCGCGACTGGTGTCGCCAAGGTGGCGCATGGGCGCGGGCTTCAGCTGAGGGGGGGACGGAACGCCTCTTCCAGTCTACACCTACTTCGATTGGCTCCCAACCTTTTTAAATCCGCGCGAGTGCAGGACAACCTGTGAGCGGGAAAAGACGTGGCCCCAGATGCGGTCAAGCGGCCTCCCTGGAAGCCACCGAAGGCTGGACCGCGCCAGCACGGCGAGAAAACGACGAACCAGGGTTCGTGAAAGATGGAAGTCTTGGGCGGTGCTTGGCTTCTTGTCTCGGGGCGAATGCAGCAGGCTCTGGGTCGTGAAATACACTAGGACGGGAGACAATGCCCGATGGGAGGAGCATTATTCAAGCGGCGAGTGGCTCAAAAGATGCAAGTCTCCCTTCGACTGCGGCGTAGGGAAACGGCTCTGGTGAGCTTCGCTGTTTTCCTAGGTCTTTTCTTCAGAGTAAATCAGCATCGGCTGACGAAGCAACGGGTTCACGTCGTCAGTAACGGCCGTTGAGACAAGATGCATCAGCCTCCGCCCGCTGATCAGTCGACCTTCGACTCGCAGGCGCGGTACAACCTTCAAGCCACCGAAGATGTCGACGACGAGCAGCATTTTGTCGAGGAGGAAAAGAAGCGAACCATACAGTTGCCGACAAGACCGAACTATAAGCCGAAGCCGTTGCGATGGCCGTTCATTGCTGTCGTTATTCTTCTGCTAGGTATCCTCATGACTTTGGTCATTGTCGCCAGGACGACGATGCCTAATTCTGATAGCACGGCGACCATTGAACCCAGGCATATCCTAATGTACCGGCAAAATGCAACTTCAGGTGGGCAGTCAACATCGGCCGATCAACCGCCGTCAACGTCCCCGGCCGAAGTCAACTCCACACCGTCAACGCCCTCCTCCACGGCAACTGCTGTGCCGAATTCTCCGACGGCAGCGAGCCTTCCTATCAGTACCGCCCCCGACCTACCAACGAGTTCTGGATCTCAAACTCAGGCAACATCGGAACAGCCATTACGGGCCTCGGAGTCATCCACGTTGCCTAGTCGCTCCTTTTTAGAGGTGCCATCTCCAGAGGTTTCATCTTCAGAAAAATACGAAGTCGTGCCTACGTCAGATCACGCCGTAGTAGCAACTGATCAACCCACCATCACTGTGATTCCGGAGACAAGTCTGTCCGATGAGACTACTCGGACGTCATCGAAGAGACCCATCACTACTACAGCTCTGGAGCCAACAGACTCGACGTCATTCCCGCCGAAGACCACCGTGAAGACCACAAGCATTTCTTCTGAGAGAGATACTACATCGTCTATCAACTCGAAAGACAGCACCGTATCAACAGGTCCAGCATCCAGTTCCAAAACCGCCAAGCCAGGAACAACAAGCAGTTCAGACAGCACGTCAAAGTCTACATCGTTGACAGAGTCAGAACGCAGTGTTGACGCAACTGCATCAAGCACAGGCGGCCGACGGAAAGAGCGTCCGGCCATCACCGATAACAGTTCTGGACCCGATATCACGTCGTCCACGTCGAGTACCGGTCGAGATCGTCTGGTAAGGCTGCCCGTTATCACCAGCGAATTCACGACCACTATCACCGAACCGGGCACTACCTTCGAATTTACCACAGCGATCACCACCACTGTGTCTTCGACCTTCACGTCAACCGGAAAGACAACAGTATCCGCGACCGCCGGCATATTAACGCACACTGATGTCCGCACAACTAGCATACCGCGCACGATCACAAGATCCGCAATGACGACCTTCCCCTCCGTGACAATAATACCGGTCGGGCCAACCATAACCAGTATCGAAACCATTAGCGACGAGAAGACTACGTATTACCAAACGACCACAAGAACTGTAGGATCATTCATCACATCGACAGCACAACACACCGTATCGGAAGTCGTGGAGACCTCATTTGAGCCCATAGAAATTACGTACACCTCGACGTCAGCTTTTACCGTGCCACCGCGCACAAGCGATGTCACTTCCGTCATCGTCAGTGCCGTGCCGTCAACTGTCGCATCCGTCGTCACAAGTACAAGCCCTCCTCAGGTTTATGTGTCAGTGGGAACCACCGAGATTACCAAGTTCATTACCGTTCCCGGTGGGAACCGAGGCAACGAGCCGCAGACCCAGCCTCCAGTCTTTCAGGTCATCACCAGCGTTGTTGATGGGAAGGTCGAGACATTTGTGGACAAGGGCACTCCTCAAACCATCGTGAAGAGCGATGGTGGAGTATACACTGTCGCCTTTACGCCGCCTCCACAGACAGTTGTAACACATGAGGGAGGACAGGCAACCCAGATGGTCATCACAGTGACGCCTTCTCCAGAGGTAGCCTTCGTCGCCGTTCCAACGACGAAGGATGGTACACCGACTGTTGTTGTAGTTCCTTCGACTTTCAATCCAGCAGGGCCCGGCGCATTCAAAGAGATGCCCACCACGATTAACGGAAAGGCGACCGTAGTCAATGTTCCTGTCACTCAAGAGCCAGTACTGCTGGCTGTGCAGACAACTATTGACGGCATACCAACCGTCTTATGGGTCAATTCTGTGCCAACAGCAGGCTTCAGTCCCATTTCATTGACCCTAGTGTCAGAGATTGGCGGCATTACCGGCGTATTCACGACAACAGACTTACCAGAGACTGTCAAGACAACGATAGACGGCAAGGAGACTTCCATAATAAGAACGCCGGGACCACGGACGTTCACCTCGGTATCGGGAGGGACTCTGACGACCATGACCATCATCACTACCCCGACCGGCACAATGCCTCTGTCATTCACGGTAATCACAACCATAGGAGGCACCTTAAGTACTATCGTATCCACTCCCACGCCTACTACGTTCACCACCTCTATCTCGGGCACATTGAGGACCATTACCTCCACGCCAAGTCCCACAACTCGCTTGTCAACCATCAAGCCCTCCACCACTCTCATCACCTCCACGACCAAACCAACATCAACAGACAGCCCGGATCGAGTCATAACCGAGATCGAAAAGTTCAGTTTTACCAATGGCGACTACTTCGTCGGGAAGTTCCTCCCAATTATCCTTGCAGTCATGATTGCGGTTCCCCTCCGGATCATCGACCTCAACGCCAAGCTGTACCAGCCTTTCCACGCCCTCGCACAGAAAGGAGGTTCTCTAGGGAAAAGCAGCATGACCTTGCAATTTGACGGCTGGAAAGGCTTCTTGACCCCCTTTGAGAGTTTGTTGCAGGGTCATCCGGTCCCTTTCATCACAACATTAATCATATTGTGCTCATCTCTACTTGCACCTCTAGCGACGGAAGCTATCGGGATGAAACTCCATGGCACTTGCAAGATCACAGCAATCGAGGGCTGTGGCATCCAGTTGGGTGTCTCTCCCATGTCAAGCTACGCCCTAGTCACCCTGATCGCCTCCATCATAGTTTTGCTTCTCGTCTTACTCTTCTTCCTTCGGACTTGGGAAACAGGCCTCCATGCCAACCCCTGGAGCGTAGCCGGGATCTCCTCCCTTGCGCGTAACGCGGACATTCGGTCGCATCAAATCGACTTCAAAGCCAGCGCAAAAGCGATGAGAGAGAAGCGATATGGTTTTGGGTACTTCGAAAACAATCTCGGCCGCGACGAGTACGGCATCATCTACTGTGACGACTCAGCCCAGACTCTCCAAGGCGCAACAGCTTCTGGCGCAATTCCAGCAGACGACGAACTCACTGGCGCGTACCAAAGGGATATTGCAAAGAAAAGCCGTAAGCCGGTGCCTTTCATTGCACTTACGTGGTGGTGGCGACTCGGGTTCATCTTCTTCCTCGCTGCCTTGTTTATCATCATATTGTACTACCATCTCACACTGGGCGTTCGGAATTCTTTCAAAGACTTCATGGATAGTCAGACGTTTGGCGTTCGGTTCTTTTTCGCGGCGTTGGGTGTTACCATTATCTTCTGCTGGGAGTCTATTTTCATCAGTAAGTTGATCCAACTAGCCCTGGGGTTCCCCTGTCTAACGTTTCAAGGCATCGCAATAATCAGCCCCTACCACAACATGGGTCGTCGCTCCCAGCCCCCGGAGAAATCTATCCTCTTGACTCGTCCAACGAACGGTTTCTACGGACTCTACGCGGCGATATTGGAGGGCAGCATCATTCTGATGCTGGCAGCTTTCATGTCCATCCTTGCCGAATTCCTGCCGATTCTCTTCGCGAACGTGCCGTACAACCTGACGCAGACTCTAAAATCCCACAATGTCTGCGCCACCATCAGCCTTACGATTCTTGCGCTCATGTTGGCCTCCATGGTAGCAAGTCTATTCATCAAATGGCCCGAGCTGCCAGTCGATCCGCGCAGTATCGCCGGAGCGTTGTACTACGTCGCCGAGAGTCGGATGCTGGAGGACTTCGAGGGACTTTCGAAGCTGGACTCTGGAGAGAGGGAAAAGAAAGTCAAGGAGCTTGGGCGGAGGTACTTTTATGGAGGCCTCACGGGTAGTAATGGTAAAAGAATGGGCGTTGAATCAGTCGAGAGCGTTGAGGACACAGCATATACTGGTGGTCACTGGTTCTTACCTCCACAAGACGACCAACAGGGCGATGAAGATAATCGAGGGGAGGGGGTGCAGGAATCTGAGGTACCTCATCAATCCGAGCAGACTTTGCATTCGGAGAGGGGGCAGGGGGTCAATCAAGAGGATGACATCGATCGAGCAGCCCTGCTACCAGAACCCGCACGGCTTCGAGAGGCGAAGCAGGGTCCTGAAGGATTCATTTAATACTTCATCACGTAAGGCATTGCCTAGATCACGGGTGTAAAGCGAAACAAGTAAAGCTGAGTTGTATCATTAATCAAGTTGTGCCAAAACACATATACCATTGCAATTACAGTCCGGTGGTGACTCGGGAGTATTTAAACGCAGAAAGACTTTTGAGATTTTCTAACAAAGGAAATGTTGACTCGTGTCAGGCGCGTGAAGCTTAGCAACGAGCGTTCCCCTTGGTAACGGACTTAATGTAAGACTTCACCTTCTCATATTTGCCCCCTCTCACATTTTCAATGTGGGTGAGTACACGGGGGTAGACCTCCTCATGGGCAGTTGGACTCATCCAAGCATCGAGATGGCCGCGACCTTCGAAGACTTGCCTCTCGTAGCAAATACCGCCGTTGACCTCGCTGAGGGTAGTGAAGGACTTGTCGGTGTTCTGCGGGTCGTAGACTGCGTTCTCAGATCCGGAGAAGAGGAAGATGGGCAGCCCCTTGAGGCGGGCAATGTTCCCAGATGTGGTAAGTTCAGCGTTCCGGGAGTCAAGGACGTTGCCTGCAAGACCGCTGTCCATGAGGTGGCGAAGGCTCTTCATCGAGGTCCCTCCGAGGAAGTTCTCCAACTGGGCATGGGTGGCGTCGTTCAGATGCTGGTGGGACCAAAGGCTAGCACGTCGAAGTTAGCAGGTGGAAAGGTTGTAATGCGTGATCATGAATCGGGATTCTTACCGTCCAAATACAAGAGAGCTACGATGACAAACGACAGAGTTGCAAATCTCGTCGCGACGACCGACGGGGTAGAAGCGGAGTGCTTGGTTAATGACCTGCTGAATGATGCCATCCTGGGAAGAGCTCGAGCAATCGTACCAGTTGCCCTGGAAGAGACTGTAGATAGACGCCATGGAGATGGGAAGGCTGGCCTTGATCTGGTTGACCTTGGCAAACATTGGGTTCATGAAGACCTGGGAGGCAGTCACACCGCTGAGCCACTGGCGCGGAATTGTGCCGTCAAGCAGGCCTGAGGCGAGAGCAACAGAGCCAGCGCAGTGAGCGACGACGTACGTGGTGACGGATGGTCCACTTCCGCTATCCTTGATGTCATGTCTCCGGCGAATTTCTTCGAGAGCGGCCTTGAGATCCAGTCGAGCATCATATGTAGTCCAGTTTTGCTGGGCAACGATGGTCTTGCCCACACGGTGAACCATCGAGTACACTCGGAAGCCCTTCGCACGGTAATAGTTGACAGCGTTCTTCTCAATTGTGGGCAAGGCGAAGATCTGCTGGTCAACAGCAGCACCGGGGATAAGGAAAACGATGGGCGCGTTCGACTCGTCCCAGTTGCGCTTGTCGTAGGGCTCGTAAAATTGAGGGCTCCAGTAGAAGAGCTTGGTCTTGACACGATCGCTCGCATGAAGTGTTATCTCTTCCGTGTATCTTGAGGGGTTCTGGTAGTTGTTGAATGGCAGACTGGGCCACTGCATAGGAATAAACGGCGTAAGGAAAGCACTGGCTGCCTTGGCGGTGAAGTAGCCGAGGAAGTTCGCAGTCGAAGCAACGCGGGAGTAGAGAGTTGAGCCGGTAGTCTCCATGGTGGTGCACTCCTGGAGGAAGGAGGTGGGACGAATGTGGATGATACCCTTGCCGAGAACGTTGTTTTCATCTCCAGCGTCACTAGTCCCAAGCTCCGTAATGGTGCAGTACAGGGTAGTAGTAGCCTTCCAGAGGTTGAGAGGGTTCAGGGTGACATCCGGATTGACGACCTTGTATCCGTTGAAGTGGAGCTTCTGGCCGTTGGGGCACGATATGGTAAAGTTGTACGTGAGGTTCATGGTGTCAGGTGCGCGAGGGTCGTCATTGAAGAGTTGGAACTTGCCGCCCTGGACCATACAGGTTCCGCCGAGCTTGGGGCAGGTAAAGGTTCCGGTGAGAGTGGCCGGGTGCTCCTTGTCATGAACAACTAGGCCAGGTCAGCTTCTTTGTTCGAGTCTCCGGGGCAGGTTGACTTACGGTTGTGGGTGTTCCATGAGCGAGCGCTGAGGAAGAATCGCGCAAACTCGCCACGACCGCGAGCGGTAGCCGTTGCGTGTTCGAAAGACAAGTTGTTGATCGTCTCATTCTTGTCACGGATATGAATCCAGCCGTCCATCATCTCAGTGAAGGCAATACCAGCAGTGTTGTCATCTCTGGCCGTCTGAATAATATCTTGAACTCTCATCACTTGGAAAGCATCTTCACGCTGCAGGCTCTCGGGGATGTGTGCAGGCTTGCCAAAAAGATTGAGAGATCCTTGAATAAGTCAGCATGTTGGAAATATCATTTCAGCTTGGCTTCAGACTCACCATTACGATCTTCCCTGATAGTCAAGTGCCTATCTTCGGCAATCTTCTCCATCGATCTCTCGGCAAGGGCGGTGATGGTCGCGAAAGGGTTAACTCCGAGAGCAGCAGGGACAATAGTGCCGTCGCAAACAATGAGGCCGGGGTGAACCTCTTCCCCATCACCCTTGAACAACTGGCCCTTATCGTTGACACCACCGCCAGCACCAGTACCGTCGTTACTGATGCGTGCGCCGCCACTAAAGTGGTCATGTAAGCAGTTATCCAGCAAGACAAACGACCCTCAGGTTCTTACATAGCATGGACAGTGATCTCCTTTTCTCCAAAAGCGGCATAGAATGGGCTGTCGACGTAAGTGCCCCCAATCAGGTTGGTGATCTTCTGGAGGTAACCCGCAAGCTTGGTAGCTCTCTTGGAAGTGCCGACACCAGAGAAGTTGATCAACGGCCTGTCATCAACCAAGTTCATTGTTGCTTGGCTGCCTACGGAGAAAGTCAGTCGCGTCTGAATGATGAGGTGAAAGGGCTTCGCTTACTGTCATGCGACATGATCAAATAGCACTGGGTTCTCTCAGTGCTTCCCTGTGGGTTGTAAGGTCCAAAGACGCGAGCACCAACAGCAGCAGCCAAGTGGTCGGCCTTCTGACCAAAGGAAAGATTATGCGGGAAGACACGACCAGGGAGGTACTGGAGCATAGTCTGGTAGAACGGTGCCAAGGCGGCGGGAATTGCGCCCTCTTCAATCACAAAGCCGTCGAGGGGGTTCTCTTGGTCACGGCAGTCGATGACACCCGTGATGCATGGCCCGACAGGGCGGTTTGGTGGTGGGTCTGGTCGCCCCATAGAGTTGACGTACTCGTTGGTGTTGTATCTGCGATTGGTTAGTAGCTGTTCATACGGCCCAACGAAGTTTCTTATTCTTACCCGAACGCCAAGATATCACCGTTGCCACTCATACCCTGGCCGACGTCTTTGCTCATTTGAAGACCAAACTTTTGGCTGCGAAGCAAAATCTCCGTGGTACCAATGCTACCGGCACCGAAGCAGACCAGCTCCTTTGCATGAACCCACATAAGGTCTTCGTAAAAGATGTCCTGAAAGTTGGCTCGCTTGCCTCCATGCCAGGCAAAGTAAACAATGTAGCCGTCTCTGTCAGGGGCTTCAGTAACGTAACGGACCTCACACTGGCAGAACATCTCGGCACCCCAATTCCAGGCATCGCTGAGATAGTTGACCAAAGTGGTTGACTTGCTTCCGTCATTCAGACCCGTGGTGTCTTGGCCAGTGAGTGATGATGCCTTCATCGAGACACCAGTGCTGTTGTCTCCGTCGACGAACTTGGTCGTTTGAGGCACACGGTAGAACTTGTCGCCCCATCCCATGAGCTTCGCCTGCTTCTCAAGCGTCTCCAACTTGGGAAGCTTGGGGTAGTCCTCTGGGTATTGTGCCGGCTCCAAGACTTTGCGAGCCTTCTCGTAATCTGGTACACGTCAGTCTGTTTTGAAGCAATCCACATCGTGCAAAACTTACATGGCTTGAGGTTATCGCCTCGGAGTTGCTCGGGCCAAATAGGTAGGCTCATCGTACCAGGGTCCGCCTCCAAGAAGACATTGGCGTTCAGGAGACTAGTACCTCCAAGGCCGTTTCCGACGAAAGCGTTCTGGCCATCACCGACAATGAGGTGATAGAGACCAGTAGGGTCGCCTCCTTCGGCAAACTTCCCAAGTCTGCCGAGTACGCCGTCCGTTGCTGCATTGGTCATATGCAGCTCTTGGGCAGCATCCGCAATTCCAGAGGGAAATTCTCCGGGCCACTTCTCTTTCCCGCGCTCTAGAAGACAGACGGTCTGTCCAGCTCGAGCCATTCGGCTGGCGGCGACGGCCCCACCGTAGCCGGAGCCGATAACAACAACATCGTATGAGGGCCGAATCAGCTCAACAGGGCGCGAGATGCGAGGATACGTGCCGGTGACAGGGTCGAAGTTGTCACTGCCATCGTTGTAGCCGTACTCCGGCTCTATGGGACTGTCCTGCAGCTGCGGTGTTCCGTTGTGCTGCGGCTCGTAGTTGCCATTGGTGTAGCCGTTGGAGCCGTTGACCTCCGAGTTGCCGTCCATGGTGTCTGGTGCCACGCGAGAGACTAAGACTTACTTACCGCTAAAGAATTAGCAAGCGTCCGTTGAGATGAGAACGAGTAGCCCCAAAACAGACGGGAACCACGGATAATATCCACTTCTTATAAAGGGAGTGCTGCGGGTGTCTCTCGGCCCCGGACTCTCGTCAACATAGCCAATCACACGGGAATTCTGCTGGGAGACGATATCACAGACCGTCGCCAAGGGAACTCCCTTCCCACGTTTCATTCACATGCCTCTTGTAAAGTGACTCTTAGTATTGGAGAAGTCACCGGTTCGCGGATTTCCCGAATGCGGCAGGCTGTGCTCGGCGTCAGCATGGGGGGTTCTCACAGCCATCCAACGTACAGTCAGCATACTGATAGTGGTGTTGAGGCACGGTAACTCGTGTGCTATGAGAATAGCCTACATTACGCCCCGTTTCTGTCAGCTTTCGAATTGGTTCTTCCCATTCGTTCAAACATTTGTTTGTGGCTTACGGTCATGTTTCCTCGACGCTCTCGGCGAAACCGATCTTACATTTGGCATGTGATTCAAACCCTTC